ATGTTTTGAAATTTAATAATTTATATTGTGTAACTCCTAACTTTTATGGATTTGTAGTATGTACAATTTATTAATTTATATTATTCTTCTAGCATTTAGATTAATTGCGTTGCATAAATTACTAAATTGCATTATGTACAATTTATGAAAACTTTTTTCCCTCATCTTTTCTATTTTATTTAATATTTTTGTTAGCCAATTTAATATATAGTGTTTATTGCTTCTTTAAAAAAAATAAATTATTGGTTTTGCATTCTTATAAATAATAATATGGTGCTTATTGTTTTTTATTAAAAATATTATATAGTGCTTACTTATATAATTAAAAATAAAATCATATGGATTGGACTAATTATTTAAATATGATTACATAGGCTTGATTTTAATTAAAAATATAGACTTCATACAATTTTAAGTCCAAACCCAACACAAAATTTTCAACTTTTATTAGCTTTGAACCATTTAAGTCTAGGTCTACTTAAAATTTCAATCGACTGAAATCGATCGAAACTAAGATCAACTTCAATTGATCAGTGTTTCATTGTAATCGACGATCTTCAATCAATTGAAATTTCTCATCGGTTTCATCGATTTTGATTTCTCTCAAAATTGAAACCAATCGATGCACTCCCCTATTCTTATACACTACAAGAGCAAGGAATCAGCAACCGCAGAGGACCCTATACAATACAACCTGCAAGACCTTAAGCTATACAAAATAAGTGCAACAGGAACATCAAGAACACAACCGAACCGACCCAATCAAGACACAAGCTCAATTATTATATATTCATTAAATAATAATTGAAAACATATTAAAAAAAAAAAAAAAAAAGAAATAGAGGTGAATCTTCCAGCCACGAAACCGCGTTTGGCGTTGAGATAATAAGCGTGGTCCTGGATTAAAGTTTCAGCCACCACTAAATGTAAAACAACCACAAACATTTTTGACTTGTACTGTTAAAAAGAGAGTTACTCCAATGCCTTTATACAACTTAGCTTTTTATTATTCAATTATGCAACTTTGGATATTTTAACTCTAACACAACAAAATATCAAACATCCAAAATTTTTAAAAATTTACATCACAATGATTAATTTGATATAAGTGCATGAATTTCATACTCAAAGAATTAATTCAAATCCTGTTTATTCTAAATAAAAATATAAAATTATAAATATATTTAAAATTACATCACAATCTCAATTTTCCAACTACGCTTTCACTAAAATCAAATTAAAATTAAATAAAATTTAAGTTACACTAATTTCAAAATAATTGAATTTAATTGTTTTTATTTAATCAACAGTCCACTAATTTCATAATTCATGGAAACTTTTAATTTAATGCCATTGGCAGTGCTCATTTTTTATTTCTTAAATCATGGTTCACATTGGTCAATTGAAAAAAAAAAAATGCAAACAAAAATCCAAAAATACCCTTAAGACTCTTATAATTATAAAAGATAGCAAACATGGGAAAAAAGAAAAGATAGTGGCCACGTAATAGGAGGACGCGACAATACTCGAACGCGAAAGTGCCCAATATTGACCATTCCGTCTCTTTTTCTCGTTTTACTTTGTCCGAGGCGAGGCTCAGAGATAACGTGGTCTTCAAATTATTGATTGACACAGAAGTCATGGACTCCAATCCCCAACAACCAGGTTCGTCTCTTTTCTTTTTCTTTTCTTCTTGTAATTCTCCCTTTCATAACAAAAAGGCTATTATTTTTGTTGTTAGGGTTTATCATCATGTTTTGACCGATCGATTGATTCAATGTCGAATTGTAGGGTTTTTAATTCGTATTGCTTTTCATTGCTTCTGTTTGGTTGATGATTTTGCTAAGGAAATCCAGAATCTATCAATTTAGTTTCCGAAATTTGAGATTTTACCTGATTTCTTCTGGGCTGTTTTTGGGGATTGTTTATGAAAGAATTAGTACAAGGAATTGAAGATTAATTAATTAACTTGGATTGGAATTTGGATGTTGAAAATTTTAAATATTTGAGGTTTTATCTGATTAGTTATTTATTGGCCTTTTTTGGGGGATTCTATATGAAAGAATTATGACAGGAAATTGAAGAGTGATTAATTAACTTGGATTGGAGTCTGGATTTATTAATTTTAAATATTTGAAAATTTCTTCTTCTTTTTTTGTGTGAAATTTGCCTGTACTTGTTGTTCTGCAACTTTAGCTGCTGGTGGCTCTCCTCCTAAACCATGGGAGCAAGCTGGAAGCTTAACTGGTTCTGGACCCTTTAAGCCACCATCACCTGGCAGCACCAGTGATGTAGTTGAAGCTTCTGGAACAGCAAGACCGGGTGAAATTGTTTCAACCACTGATAGAACTACAGCTGTGAATAGAAATACTGTTGGTAGGCCTTTACCGAGCAGACCTTGGGAGCAACAAAATTACGGGAGTACTTATGGAGGTGGAGGATTAATTCATCTATTATAATGCAAATGGTTACTTAATTTGGGAGCTTGTCTAAGTTTGATGTTTGATGCAGGTTATGGTTCTGGTTTAAACTACAACTCAGGGTATGGTTCAGGAATGTATGGTTCTTATGGTGGACTGGGGTCTTATGGGGGTGGATTGTATGGTAACGGCATGTATAGAGGAGGTTATGGTGGTCTATATGGGAACTCTGGAATGTACGGTGGTGGAATGTATGGTGGTGGTCTTGGTGGCTTTGGGGGTCCAATGGGTGGTTATGGGATGGGCATGGGTCCATACGGTGAGCAAGATCCTAATAATCCATATGGTGCTCCATCATCCCCACCAGGCTTTTGGATTTCCTTCCTCCGAGTGGTAATTCCTTGCTCATCTTATCATTCATACTTAACATGTCCAGTCCTTAGATGTAACAGCTGCCAACACCTTAGCTATCAATGTGGTTATGAGAAAACAGGAACCTGATGATTTTTCATCTCTTACAAGTCCAAGAGGCTGCTTTTTCTTGACTGGACATTATAGCTGATAAGAAGGAACTCTGAATCTTTGTTTTTTTTTTTGTGTGTCCTTTGCTCCATTTCTTGAGCTCAAAGTATGCTTACAAGAATATTCCTCTATTTCGTATTTTACTGTTCATCTTCTAAGGTATTAAAATAGGAAATGTAGGGGAAGGTAGTGGGTTGGGGATGGTTTGTTGGGTGGTTGCCGAAGAGCTTGCATGGACATGGAGGACATGTCCATGGGGACTTATCTTTTCAACCGTAAAATGTTAGAAACATTTGATGAGCTGTTATTTAAGTCTAATATTTCCCCACTTGATCTAGATTTTTGATACAGAGCTAGATTACAGCAAGTTCATTACATCTTATTTGGGTAATAAGGGAGTGTTTGTACTAAAAAAGAAGACAATTTATCTTTTAGCATTTGGAGGCCAGTTGTTTCATGAAATTGTTTTATGAATCCATCCGTTTGTATAAATTTTGCCTTCTCAAGCTTTATCCTTTCACTGTGTCATATTGGTAATTGCTTTCTTGACTGATTGCAGATGCAAGGTGTTGTTAACTTCTTTGGGCGGATATCTATTCTGATAGACCAGAATACACAAGCATTCCACATGTTTATGTCTGCTCTTCTTCAGGTGTTGCTTTCTTTATATTTATCTTTCCTTTTTTTCCAAATTTGATATGGAATCATTCACTTGGAGGTGATTTTTATAAAATAATAATAGTTGAATTCAGGAATAATGTCTTTTGGTGAGTGAAATTTATAACATGTTAACTCATGGCATCATTGTTTGCAGCTTTTTGATCGCACAGGATTGTTGTATGGAGAATTAGCTAGATTTGTGTTAAGACTGTTCGGAATCAAAACAAAACCCCGAAAGATCAATCAAGCCGGACCTGATGGACTCCCAGGACCCCATAACCCTCATGGGAATCAAAACTATATTGAGGGGCCAAAGGCAGCTCCAAGTGGTGCATGGGACAATGTATGGGGAGAAAATCGTAGCAATTAGTTTGATAGTCAATTTCCATCCAACGATTCCAGGTAAATTGACCTGAAATTGAAAAAGGCTTCTTGGAGCAGAGATTAGACAAATACAACTGCCTGCACCTATTTGACTCACCGTAGTTGATGAAGGCTGGGTGGTGCTCATCCCAAGAGCGTTCGTGGCCAAAGTTGTTCTGCATGGTTTGAATGTACCAAGGACTCCCATAGTGTTAAAAGTTGAGACTTAATAATCGAACACTAAATGTGCTTATTGGCTTGGCGATATTAAAGGAAGGAAAGCAAGATGCGCTTGAATGTGAAGTCACGGTGATTTATTTTTCAAAATGAATAAGTGTTGACTGGTTTTGATTACCCTGGTAGTTTTAATAACATTGAAAAAGCCATAATAATTTTTTGTTTCTTTTTGCAACCTGTGTAGCTTAAAAGGTGGAGAAATCTCCCCTCCCAAAACCAATGGAAAAACTTGTTGCAATACTTTCATATTCTCCGTCACATACAGTCACCATCCTTGGTGCATTGGCAACTGGGGTCACCCAACGGTCCGCTGGTTTCTCTCAATTTCAATGGCGGAAAAATCTGTCCTAGTCAACAACTTGGTCATCCAACTTCCAAGATAGGCAACCGGGACACTCTCTATGCTTACGTTGATCTTTTTGCAACCTTTTTGCAGCATTAATGAAGAACATTTGTTCATTTCTAGCCTCACCAGAGATTCAAAACTTTGGAATGCGATTCCCCATATAATGGATTAAGGACAGACATTGGTTGATCCATCGCCCAACAACCTGCCTCAACTCTCCCCTCGGTCAAGATCGCTTTGATCAAGATTGACCTAGTGAAAAGAAAATAGCTAGAATTTGCAAACACAATCATGCAAAATCCACATAATTTGCGGGGTATACAACGCTGAACTATAGATCGGACAGTTACAAAAATTGAAGTGTAGCAGTCTTTGGCCAAACACAAGTGACGTATCATGAAGTTCTTAAATAAGGTGTTCATTTTTTATCTTTATTGAATACAAGATTGCAATTCAAAAAATAATAATAATAATAAAGGTTAAGAAAAATCTCATGCTGTATGAAAACCTTACATCATTTTAAGTTCATTGCGTTCAAATAATCAAATATATCTATCAATGCAACTAACTAACTTATGTTAGAGGTGACCTTATCAATCAAGACAGAAATTGCAACAACTTGACTGGTACACATGTAGCATCAATAGCTTTTCATGCCATAAAAGATAGTTAATCTCTTACTCATCATATTTTAGGCAGTCCCAATGAGGCCCTATAGACATCACTTCTTCTCCCTTGATCTCAACATCGCCCCTATAAAATTTAAACAACTCCACTGCTATATCTGATATCCTACTATTTCGATTCATGTACAAAACAGAAAGCCGTTCGCAGCCATCTCGCAAAGCCTGTAACCCTCGATCACATAAATTTCGGCAGCGGTTCACGTGAAGTTTCTCTAAATTGTGGCAATTTAACCCAATGGAAGCCCAGCCTGAAAACCTAACCCCATGACACAATGCCAGGTTCCACTCTGTAAGTAGTGGACACCCCTTTGCTATTGCAACAATAGAAGCATCACTAACAGTTCTACACATTCGAAGGCTAAGGATTTTAAGCCCTGCCGCAAATCCATTCCCAATTACTGCCAATTCATCTTTGAGGCTCAATGAACTCAAACCAGCAATGTTTAAAAACTTAAGCCCACCTCCACTGACAATCCCCATTATTCCTTCTGGTTCAAGATTACAAAATTCAGCATCTACGTAAACCAGAGTTGATGAACAACCCCTAAAGCCAACACCACTTACACCCCTGCAATTCGATATCTTAATTGCACTGAGCTGACAGCATCCTTGCAAAAGAGCTCTTAACCCAGAATCTGAAATGCGTGGGCAATAAGCAAGATTCATGTGCTTCAAAGCCAAACAAGTACTAGCTAAAGCTTCTAGAGCAGCATCAGTAATGTTGCATCGATAAAGACTAATGATAGTCAAGGAGGGACAGCCAATACCAACCAGGGAAAGCCCATAATCGGTGATTCCAAAACAACAATCCAGACATAGAGTTTGCAATCTTGAACCATAGTATTTCAAGTAGGTTAGGCCTGAATCAGGTAGCTCTATGCAACCAGAAAGAGATAAATACTCTAAATGCTGAAAACGGGTGAGAATCCTGTAGAGATGGAAGGAATTGATGTCAATACTGCTCCCAGATAACGAGGAAGGGCCAATAATACTGAAAGAACATGGAAATTGTAAGGATCGACGATTCAAGTTTTGAATATTAAGCCAGCGTTGGCAAGTTAGCCCAAATGATTCACGGTCAGACCTACAGTCAAGATAATTGAAAATAAAAGAGAGGCAATCATCAGGTAGGTGCATGATGGAGGTAGCACCATCCATTAATGTCTCTTCCATGTCAACCTTGTTAGCACTCTTCTGAAGGCTGTAGAGCTCGGATCTTTATAGCAAACTTTTTATAAGCAGCACTAGATGAGTTTGGGGAGTCAAAACCACAAAGAGCAGGTGCATCTCCATAACCATAGCCTATATGAACCCCACATTTACGACAAAGCAGTTTAGTTTTTGAACGGTAACGGCCCCAACTGATGGGAAAGCAATGTACCTGATCGACCTGAGTGAATCGACTAAGATCAACAGAGAGAAATGAGATAAAACCTTTCTTTATGGATTTGTGATATTCAGAGCCCATGCCAGAGGTGATTCGGTTAGAAGATGTCAAGTTCAAAGGGTATCCACAAGACCCACAACTGCAAGAAATGATCCTAAACCATGAGAAATTTTAGGGAAGACTTTTCCAATAAATCATGAAAGAAAGATCAATAAATTCTACTACCGTAAAGCATTGCAGAAAGCTTTAGGGAAGACTTTCTGCGAAAGATTAGTTGGCATGTGAAGATGCTAACTCTCTTTGGATTTTTTTTTTCATTTTTGCCTTTTTGTATGAATTGCTGTTTTTAAGAAGAAATTATCACCAGATAATTGCATTTTATGTGTCAACATGATGGGGAATGGGTCAATTATCTAGATTCGATTTCAAAGGATAATTAGCGAGATTAAAAGCCTTTAATCATGTCATCACAGATACCGTAAATCTACACAAAGCAATATAGATATCTTCATTAAGCCTACTACACAGGCGCAAGTAACAACAACAACTGCCGATTCATGAATATATTTGAATAAACAAAACCATCACAATTTAGCAAATACTCTCGGCTCCAATTTCTTCACAACTAAACACTACGTAAACATCAAATTAGTAGTTCAAAAGAAGCAGCTCCATAGAATTCCTGAAGATGGTAAAAAATAACATTCACAACCAGAAAGAAAATACTTATGCATGATAAAATGCCATGATTTCTAGCTTATTAGCCGAAAACCCAGATGACCCAGAAGCAAAAGAATGCAATTGAGCAATAAAAAAAGCAAGGAAAAGGATTTGAAGGACCAGTACCTGTAAGAGACGTCAGCTTGGGACATCCTCTTTGAAGATCAGGGAAATAAAAAGGATCCCATTTGCCGAAGGATGATTCTGCAATGGCAGAATCGTTAATATGTGGTGATGTTGGAGAAATAATTGTTCGGGGGCCAATCAGATCGGGAAGATTTTGGTCTGGTACAGGCTACAGATACATGGAGAGTTTGGCGTTTGTCTTTTTAGAAGCAGTTTTCAGTTGCGTGGACTATTGACTGTGGAGATACGTTTCTTATATACCATGTTTGGTTAAGCATTCCCCTCTATTCCTGTCTGGGAATGTCAGATGCTGCGAGGAAAGGAATAGTCAATCCTTATAACGCCTATTCTCCAAAATCAGCTAAAATAAAAAAATAGTTAATATTAATTTTCAGAGTATTATTAGTTATTTCTTGATCGAGGAATAGTCTTAAATATGATAATATTTAAAATATTTTTTTATAAATTTAAAAAATTACTCATTATATATTATAAAAATAATATTTTAAACTTAAAAATTAATTAAAAATTGATAATATTTTAATCAGAATAATATTTAAATTATAAATAAAGTATTAATATTTAAATTATCGTCAATTAATAACTCCTGCAGCGGTCAGTGATTAGTTTTTATTAAAAACGCTTATTTAAAGAAGAAAATGTCTAATTTATCCGTGCGGTCCGGAGCTAGTAAAAAGAAATGCAAAGCTGTGACCTTTCACACGTGTCAAAGCTCAGGACTGGGTGCACAAATACAGCGTACAATCGAAGGTAAATCAATTTTCCATTGATAAAAAAACCTGACAATTAATCGTTGCCCTTGGTTTATTCCTATAAAAATTTCTAGGGTTTTAGTATCAGAGTTCCTTTCTCTTTGCACAGCTTCTAAGCTCGGCTAGAAACCCCTGAGGTCAAAGCCATGGTAAAACTCACTCTCTGTGCAATCACTTTTACTCATTTTATCGCTCTATTTACTCTCATTTTTATGATAATTTAGCTTCGCTGGTTTCGATTTTAGATCCCATTTTTTAATAATATTTAGCATTCAGTTTATAATATCAGGTCTCTGTTTAAAATTTTTGAAAACATGAAAAAACTGAACCTTTTGGATTCATTCTTTTAACGTTGTTTATTGTTGTCTTTGAAGAAAGAATCAATTGAATGAGTACTCTTTTTATTTTCCTTTAATATATGGAAGTATATTGTAAGCAGTGTCTGATTTTGAGTGGAAACTCGAAGATTATATATAGTTTAATTTGGTTTCCTCCACCCTCCACCACCGTTTTTAGTTCGTTTTCCTTTTTGCTGAATTGATAGGAAAAATGTAAAATGACCTGAGAATCGAAACCAGCAGCAATAAATTAAAAATGTCGAGGGTTTTTTAGTTAAAAAAATTAAGGAACTGTTTGGTTGTTAGTTGAACTATTTCCTTTTTGTTTCCGGAATAGAAAAGCTAAAATGTGTTGGTATACGGTACTGCGACATATGTATTTTTTTTTTGTTAAAAAGTTTATTGTAGTAAGTTTTGGCGTGATGTAAAATGATGACAATTTTATAGGTTTGTTTGCATTTGTTATGCTTATCATAGATGCTGCCTGGGTTTCTGAGTTGGTTAGTTTTATGGTACAGGCTTATGTTAAAGCACAGAAGACAAGGGCTTACTTTAAGAGATATCAAGTTAAGTTCAAGAGAAGGCGAGGTACAGTATTGATGCCCACGTCTTGTATGGTGATGTGTACTGTTTGCTTTGTTGAGGTTGTAATAATTGTTTAACTTTTGTAGAGGGCAAGACAGACTATCGGGCCAGGACCCGTCTTATCAATCAGGACAAGAACAAGTACAACACCCCAAAATACCGTTTGGTTGCACGATTTGTATCCTAATATCTGGCTTCCTTTTCCCTCATTGTCATTTGTTTATGTGGCTCTAGCAAGCCACAATTGTCTATGTTATTTCCCTCATTGTTTGGTTTGTTGATGGTACTTGGTTAAAACATATTATGAAATTTTATTTGGGCAAATAAATGGACTCACATACCTTGATCCTTCTTTTATACATGATGTTTATTTTCCTATGGGGTATTAATATGTCTAATTTTTTGACTGCTAGTAGTATTACCTTAACCAATTTATTAGACCAACAAGGATATAATTACACAAATTGTACATGCTAGCATTGCTGGTGATATAGTTCTTGCATCAGCTTACGCGCATGAGCTTCCTCACTATGGACTTGAAGTTGGCCTTACCAATTATGCTGCAGGTACGTGATTTACTTCTGTAAAAGTTAAAATGGATTTCCCCCCTGGTTGACAATGAATCTTACTGAATGATGCTTTGAGAGCAGCTTATTGTGTTGGACTCCTTTTGGCTCGTCGAGTATTGAAACAGCTGGAGATGGATGCTGAGTACGAGGGAAATGTTGAGGTATGTGGCATGCTTTTTAAGGTTTGAAGAAAGATGTTCAATTCAGATCGAAGTTTGAATTTGGTCATTCTACTGTCTCAATTTGGCATTTTTAGTCCCCCTATTGCAATTTTTATGAATTTAGTTCCTGCACTTTTATTAAAAGTTGATGTAAAGATGATTGATAATTGTGTTAAGATTTTGACTTTAATTTGGATGGTGTGGAATTTTGTGATGCCTTGATGATATATTGAGGTGGATTAATTTTTTGGCTACATGACAAATATTAGTCTAAAAAAATCATATTTTATTTTACTTAAATAATAATTAATATCTTTTAAATTCCAAAAAAATTTTTGTATATTTATTAAAAATATAGTTTTATTTTGTACTAATGTGTGTCACATGGTCAAAAATTTCAGGTTAGCATGTCATGTTATGAACAAAAATGACACGTCGTCAAATTTGATTGTAGAAGTTTAATACAATTATCAATTGTTTTAAAATTATTTTTAATAAAAGTATAGAGACTGAATTCATTAAAATTGTGGTAGAGGGGCTAAAATCATAAATTGGCATACTGGAGGAACCAAATTCAGAATTTAACCTTTAGTTTGCATCTTTTATTGTGATGGATAATAAATATATGGAAAACATCATTTGCTCACAGGCAACTGGGGAGGACTTCACTGTTGAACCTGCAGAGACCAGGAGGCCTTTCCGTGCTCTTCTTGATGTTGGTCTTATTAGAACAACCACTGGTAACCGTGTATTTGGTGTTCTCAAGGTATAGTGGAACCCTGTTCTATTTATTTCTCCTTGAGTTTAACTTTATTCTTTGATTTTTTTCCTTCTAAATCTTTTATATAAGTTGTCAATTTCTTTTATCATGCCTGCCGTTCAAGTTTGCAATGTGTTGGATATTTCTCATTAGCATTCACAGAAAACTTACATGTACACGTACAAAGCATGATCCTTATTACTGAGGTTAAGCTATTAATTTCTGCAAGTGAAAGAAATAGTTTTGTGCATATTATGGCAAATTATATGTATGATAAAATGTACTTGTTTTGTGCCACAAGAATTATTTGATTTTTTCTTTCTTTTTTTTTTATTAAATGGGTCGGCCAAGCTTGGGTTGCCCATTTGTAGCTGAAGAAAACCATTCTTAAAGATCTTTGAGCTTATCATTTTTCAAATGTATACTATCTTCTCCTTGAGCTTTAACATATTTGTATTCTTTCCTTTACATTTTAGGGAGCTTTGGATGGTGGACTTGATATTCCTCACAGTGACAAGAGGTTTGCTGGATTTAACAAGGATAGCAAGCAACTTGATCCTGAAGTTCACCGCAAATACATTTATGGCGGCCATGTTGCTGCATACATGAGGGTAAGGTTTAGAGTTTATGAAGTGGTAGAAATTTGAAGTTTGTTACTAGATGTTATTTTGGGACAATTTTTCATTGGTTATCTCTCTCTCTGTAAGTCTCACTTTGTCAAGTTGACAGACTTTGATGGAAGATGAGCCAGAGAAGTACCAGTCTCACTTCAGTGAGTACATAAAGAGAAACATTGAGCCTGACAACATGGAGGGACTCTACAAGAAGGTTCATGCTGCTATTCGTGCAAGTCCAGAAGCAAAGAAGTCTGAGAAGGAACCTCCCAAGGAGCATAAGAGGTAGACCTTCTTTCTCTCTCTCAAGACAATTTAATTGTAAACTAGTTAGCTTGAACTAAAATTTGTTATTACTTCCTGCATGTTCATATAAATGGGGGTTGTAAGAAATTCAATTCTAATGTAATGTTTTTTTTTGCACGTTAGGTACAACTTGAAGAAGCTGTCATATGACGAAAGGAAGGCTAGGTTGATTGATAGGTTGAAAGCTCTCAATTCAGCTGCTGGAGTTGATGATGATGAAGATGATGATTGAGCTTCGAGAGTTGAGGAATATGCTGAGTGAGCTCAGCATTAGAATTTTGGGCATATTATGGGCTCCTATCGTATGTTGTGCTGTTAGAATTTACGGCAAACCCCAGACTCTTTGCTTGTTTATTAGGGATATGAGAAACTAGCCTTTTTGCCTGCGGATCTTGTGGTTATGCTGGATTGCTTTTTCCATTTATTTACTACGTTATATAAGCACTAATGCCATGGCAAAATCTTCACTCGTTACCTTTCAATATCTATAGAGAAAAAAAAATGTTGGCCAGTTTATTTACCGAGTGTGTGAAATAAATTTGTGGAAGATTGACACCCTTGAAACTCGTAACTTGATACTAACACTTGGCAATTAGTGTCTATAATCATGATTCTGTAACCAGGCCATGGAGGATTGTACAAAGTTAAGTGGAAGTATGTGAAAATACCAGTAAGTGAAACCTAGTAAACTAGTCGCCGATCAAGTATCACTGCAGGCTGCAGCTGTCGGGAGACAAAGTTGCTCTCCTGTCCTGGAGCCCGGAGGAGAGCATTGCATAAGTACCTACTCGATGTCAAAAGAGGACCGAGCTTCATCTGCTTTCTGAATTACCTTATACGTGTGGAACTAGCCCAAAATGCCTAATAAGCTGAAGACTATATGCGAATATAGCAAGTAATTCATTTCCACAGTGAAAAACTCGTTAGAATTAGACAACTGGGGATCCAAAGGAAGCCAAAGATCCTTTGAGTTTTGACGGTCACGCAAGGCATGGTGTAGAATTTCCCCTACCAAATTCAGCCAAAGGTCCGAAGCCATTGTTTTCCTGACACTGCCAGGCCCTGTTTTAGCTATCATCCAAGGAGAAGCTTGACTTTGCCATACTAGATTCCTTCATCCATTTGCGAAGCATAAGGGGTTCTTATTTTTGAATTAAAGCCTGTAAATTTGGAGTCGAGGACGGAAAGAATAGGGCAATGTGAATAAAGACTACAGCAAAGAAATATTTTGCGCATACCCTTCTTTGCAGAAAGTTGTAATATTGCCCAGTTGTTAGAGCAAACCGTAGGATGCATTTATTTCATACTCAAGTCCATGGCCATTTTTCACAAAGTAGTTTTAATTGAGATCCTTTGGCACATCTCTACTATCATTATCATCATCAAGACAAGCCAAGAAATGAGGTTACATATGTTCACAACGAAAAGAGATACCACAAGATCAATCTTGCACAAGAAATCTCAATTATGGTCCATTCAGAACACCTTGGGTAAAATCAGTTCAATACTCTATCATCCAAGGTGCATTTTAATCCAATTGTACTTTCAAAACTACCACAGTCAAAACGGCTCTCAGCTCAGATTGGTATAACATTCGACCATTTTTTTCGTAAGTTATCTACAGAATGAAATTTGGAACATGGTTGACGTTTCACAGCAACTGATGCATCAACAGGCCTACTCATCATCTTCAGGATCAAAATCTCTAATCTTCACATCAGTGTCTTCACCATACTGAATGCAGTTGTCAATTTGAGCCAACACATATCGTATGCTGTAAAAGACAACAGGCCACCATTATCCATGATAAAACAACTATACGTAAGAACATAAATTGTTAAACAAAATAACCACTCAATCCAGTGACATTAGTGGCTTCTCCAAAGGACTCATCTCACTCTCTCACTATCAACCCTTTCTTTCTGTTATGTAAGTGTTTTCTTACTATTAGTTAGAAGTAAACAAAATACAGGGGAAAATCTTTGACTACTAGGAGCTTAATTTAAACCTAAAAAAGAGCAAGTCACACAACAAGTGGTTCCTCAACCATCAGCACTCCCAAGAAATTACTCTTCCTTACAAAATCATTAAGAAATTACTGTTGCTAAGATGTCAAACACACAAAAACATAAGATTTAAAAGCAAGGCCACCATCTTAGCCTTTTAATTTAAAACTTAAATTAAGAACAAAGTTAGCCTATTTACCACTCTAATTAGTTCAGTTTAAATCAGGAAAGCACAAGATTAAAGTGTAGCATCTACAATGAGTGCAGTCAGATCAAATCTCATGTGGAGGAGTGTAATCCACCCACACAACCTCACACACAAAAGAAAGCAGAGAAAGGTGTACCTGCTTTCCTTCCTCAAGTCAAGTGGGATAAAGCTCACCATGCTATATTCATCCACCTAACATGCAAAAGAAACAATAAGAAACAATAATTTGATAAAATATAGCATGATATAACAAATCCAAGTAATATTAATGGTATGTTAAACAGCAGCTATATAAATAGAGAGATTCATATTGTGTGATGAAAATACGACTACATGAGCCAAAAATCAATGGTGATACAAAAGTTGCAACAATTGATTTGAGAATACATGTTTAAAAATTTCTTAGTACTTCATAAAAGTCTCACTTAAACGTAAAGAATGCCCGGAAAGTACATATAGCTTCAGATCAAACAACCAAAACAAGAAAATACCCCCTTAGTTGCGACAATGAAAATCTTGCTATGAAGAACAAAATATCAAATATACTCACTCAACTGGAAACTAAATAGTGCAACTTCCAGGGCAATTACCATAGGCACATCTAGAATATGATCCCAGAAATAATTAAAAAAAAGAGAACCATCTAAGCATTCTGAGAGACTATAAGATATTGTTGAAAATAACCAAAAGAAAAATTATTATAAAACACTATAAAACCCTCCTTTCTTCTGAATTACTTGGCTGGTATGAACAACCAATCCATGCCACACAAATCCCAAAATAACCAATGCAATGTAGATATTGGATCCTGAATGACTTAGTATCTCACCAATTCAATCAAAGATTTATTTAGCTTTTTAAACCGAGGAGCCATCCGTTCATTTAACTCTGACAGAAGAAGCCGAGGCTCTGGATCCAAGTAGCTAAGAACAACAAAGATTTTGGTTAAAAAAAAAGAAAATGAATAAAATGCAGGTTGGAGGAGAGTGGGTTAAAGATGAAAATGCTCACTTTTCAACATCCCTCTTGTTTGTTACAAGATCCATTTTGGAGAGGATATTAACATGTGGTAATTCAAGCTGGACCATTGCAGAAAGGGATGCCATGCATCCACTAATGAACTTGGTAACATCCGTAATGAACTGACACAATAAAAATATAGCTATAGTAACTGAACACAACCAATGATAAAGACAGACCTACTAAATTTGAAGAAGAGAGACATGTGGGGAGATGCAGAGCTTAGACAAACCTGTGAATCAAGCAAGTACACAGCACATACATTAAAATTCTTGCGCTTCAAGTGCTCCACAAAGTTACGGAGAACTGGTACATGTGAAAAGAGCTCTATCTGGCCTATAATATAATTGAAAGTTAGCAAAATTTATCCACATGTGTAGTATGGTTCAACAAATAGTACATCACAGCAGAAACCCAAATTCAGTGACATAATACCCAACAAGTATACCCCTGCCAAGGTAAAAGGCAAGATACTCAAAAATAACTTCCAAGTGTTTGCTTACAAACTACTAACATACCACATCCAAACTAAAATAGATACCTGGGCAGTCAAATACTAGATAGTCATCATCCAAGTAATTGTCCAATTCTTCAGTCAGCCAATCATCCAGATTTTCTTCAAGATGTCTAGTTGGATATTAAGGTTAACAATTTTGCTCTCAAAATCTAATTAAGAAAGGAATAATAAAATTTGATGTCTCTGTAGCCTTTGAAGGATCATATAAGTGCTGAGAACACAGGGAAGTGGAAAGAAATAGCTAGAAAATCCCCACAAACATTCACAGCGCTTAAACACTAGAGCACAAGCAATAATCCAAATAGATAAAATGACATAACAGCTATCGGGTAACCCTAAAAATAGCAAGAAACTAAGCCTTTTCCAGTAACAACAATCACAATAATGGGAAAATGCAGAAAAATGAAAATTCCCTTCACAGGGCCAGACGAGCAAAAAGGATACTCCATGCAGTACATAAGGCCACCATTTGGACCCAGCCCAAGTTCCTCCATAACATCATCCAAACTAATGAGCCCCCTTATATCTGCAAAGAAACCAAGCTTAATTGCAACAAATCCACAGAAAAAGATAAACCAAGTAGGAAAATTCAAGCCGAAGGTTGATTACCCATGGCTACTGGGTAGTTGAAATTTTCTGCAGCAGGATCTAGGTTCACAATATTTATTGACCGTCCAAGGGTTTCACAGTGGTGGTATAGGCTAGAGCAGTAGGTTGACTGATCCAAAAGGACAAAGTCACTTTAGTATACATCGTGATGCAAATAAGAACTCATTGCCTAAATGGACCAAAGACAGTAACATATGTTTTACATTTTCCTTTCACAACAGAAACCAGAGAACCCAGGAACATTGACCTCATTCATATCCCTGAAGAGAATTGTTGATAGACTAACTCACCTTTCCACTGCCTGCAGGACCGATAACTAGTTGTGCATAGCCCATGATAGCTTCTCAAACTTTTCAAACTGCTTCACTAACTCAGGATGAGCAGATGGAATTGAAGATCCGCAATGATGCAAGAATTGCAACAGTGATATATGCAGTACACCACACACCAATAGCGAACAACAAATTCAAGAAATCAGAGTGACCCATAAACAGTGGTGAGAGAGAGACACAACATTAGCTAACCTGATTTAATATCAAAGAGAAAACTTGAATTACATTTTAATCACATTATGCATTAAAAACAAGATAAACTCAAAAACAATCCCACCGAGCGACAGAATATTATCATCTTCAGCTCAAACTAACTACCAAGGATTTAAATAGTGGCTTGAAGCTGCTGTTTTATAGGCAGGCGAGCTCCCACGAATGCTATTTCCAACTATTAAAATGAAATATAAAATCACATCACAACAATTAGCAGCCGCAAAATAACATGGTAGTGGCCCATCACCACCGTAACAGACCAGAATAATCACATTCTACTATCTAGCTGCAACATAAAATATTCTTTTTCAACTTGCAATAAAAGATTTTCAACATCAAACTTCCAAAAACCACAAACACACCTAGAGAAGCAAATAATTTAACACAAATTACTTTCATTTAAAGAAAAAAAAGATTTAATTTTACAAGGAAAGTTCCTCATTGTTTTCTTGAAACAAGTCTCAGCAGCAGGTAAGACACAGACAGAGATAAACGGCAAAGGTAGCATCTTGACTTACATGGCCATGCTTGGCTTTGGGAGGAGGCTATGCCAGCTATTTGAAAAAGAAAGATGAGCAGGCAATCTAGTTTAAAATGGAGCACAAATTGTTCTGCAATAGTAAAGATGGGGGAGGACATTAAGGAGAGCATGCGGATGATTTGGCAACAGAAACAGATAAAGGTCAGCTGTGGGCGTTAGCATGTGGGATTAGGAAATCCAATTAGAAATTAGGGAGGTACTTTTATACGTTGGTGGTATGTGGAAAGGTAACCATTGATAAGACGTTATTGAAATATTTTCAATATGAATTGCAGGAATTAACAAATTCCTCTAATTTTACCTCAAATACTCCGCAACGCTTCAACTTCATCCAGTTTGTTATAGGAAGGAATTTTGTGTATTAACTCTTAAGCCCAAAATTTTAAAGAAAAACGCCATGGGACATAGTGTAGAATCAAACTCATTCCAAAATCCATTAAGACAAAAATACAGAACATAAGAATGTTGACCATTTGAGAAGAGCAACATAACCGAAATTTGCAAAATCAAAGTAAGCAAGACGCAAATAGATTCTGAACAACGGAAAGAAAAACATTATTAGGGTTAAAATCAGTTGATTACCTGAAGCCCTGAATGCTGGTTTCCGCTCTGAAAATGGGGATTCGAAAGGGTTCCTTGTTTTTTTTTTCTTGGTTTTCGTAAAGGAGAAGACTCTAAACCTCTGAAGACCAGGCCTGAACCGCACTCAAGGTATTTAAAAACTATTCGGGGCCTTGCCTCCCCTTTACGCGGTTATACGCTAACACTAGGGTGCTAGCAAGTGTGCTTTGAAACGCACCGTTTACTCCCTCCAAAACTCTTCTTTAACCTTTTCTTTCTTTCTTTCTTGGCTTCCAAATAATATAAGCCAGTTTTTCTTTCTCCTTATTTCACCCCCGAGTTCTGTCTACCGGAAACGAAACAAGAAGCAAAAGCCAAATTTTCAGCTCCGGTGATTGAAAACTCTGATTAACTTATAAAGGTTGTTCCTTGATTTTTCCTCTTTTTACTTTTTCTTCTTTACAGCTCTAAGTTATTGGATAAGGATAAAAATACCCTTTCAATTTGTGGGTTCTGTTCCTATTTTTTCTCATAATAATTTTGAAGATATTTCTTATTTTGATTCTTAAGAATCCCTTCGTAATATTTTTTTAAAAAATGGTATCTTTATCCAACTCTCCTTCAAAATCAAGTGTTTCCAGTTTCGTTTGGCTGATTTTGGATGATTATTTTGGATACAGGGAGGAAGAAGCTTATTGTAAAGAAAAAACGATATGGTTCCTTTATTTTTATCTGAGCCAAACTGGGATGATGAAGCTGGAGATAATGAAGCTACCCATCTGATAATTTCGCTTTTAAATCAATTGGGTTCAGTTATTTGGTCGCTGATGATCTCTGGAGGTCGTTCTGAGGCTCGGCTATGGCTTTGCAATGCCGTTTCTAGCCTAACCTCCATCTCTCCTCACCAACAGAGAGAGATTTTTATGAAGTTGTTAACATCCACGCCAACAAGGAGGGGTTTAGCATCTCAACTCTTGCAAATGGTTTTTGAGAAGAGGCCAAGAAAAGCTGGTTCTATCTTGGCCAACAAAAGTTACTTGCTTGAAAAGTTTTTCCAAGGCAAGTTGGTTTTTTTTTTTTGTTTTTCTTTGGGTTTTGTTTTGTGTGATCTTTTTTGCACTGCTATGTTCTTTAAAGGTGAATTTCATTCTGTGAAATGTCAAGTAATCAGTAGCTACAACCTACTTCCTTTAGCTTCCTGATGTAGATTTTAGTTTATTATTTGGACATTCTTGTCATGAGCAAATGAGCTTTAGTTTCTTTGAATTGCAGTGTTAATTCTTACAAAGCATTTGACTGAAATTTAGAGGTTGAGATTAGTGTGAATTTTATGGTGTTCCAAGTTGGTTTTGTTTCACTGTTCGACTAGTATGTTTTGTGTGATTTGATGCACTCTATGTCCTTCTTAAAGTTGAATTTTATTTAGTAGAATGCAAACTAATTGGTAGCTCCAACCTAGTTCTCTAAGCTGCATGTATATTTTAGCTTCTTCGAGAACCTTAAAGTTATTATAATTACACATGTTAGTGGTTGAGATTAGTGTGAATTTTATTGTCTTTTGATTATGCTAATATTGAATGAATCATGCAGGGAACCCAAAGCGAATAATACAATGGTTCTCTAATTTTGGAGATGGTGGTGAATTGGAGCACAGAAAAGGTGCAAAGGCATTGTCTCAATTTGCCTTTGTAAATAGGGATATATGTTGGGAGGAGCTTGAGTGGAAGGGAAAGCATGGGCAATCACCTGCAATGGTTGCCACAAAGCCTTATTATTTTCTGGACTTAGAAGTCCAACGAACAGTGGAAAATTTCCTTGAAAATGTGCCTGAATTTTGGTCATCCAGTGAGTTTGCTGAATCACTAAAAGATGGTGAAATTCTATTCATGGATACAAAGTTCTTTGTGGAACTTTTTATTGATTTGATGTATAAGGAGGATTTAAGAGCTCTATGGGACACCATAAGTGAGTTTCTTAAGGAGGAATCATTCTCATCATTGTGTCACCACCTTCTTATCTCTCTTGAGGAGGGTGAATTCTGCATCTTTCTGGAATTGCTTCGTAGATATATCAATCCAAGGATGGAACCTAAGGATTTTGGTAATCCATCTTGTGTCCTGGAGTTTATACTTTACAAGTATGGTGATTCGGAATCTTTTGATAAGCTACTTCTGTTAAATGCTATTATCAATCAAAGGAGACAGCTTCTTCGGCTTGTACATGATGAAGAGTATCAGGATAAACAAAAGCAAGTCAAAAATATTGTATCTCAGATGTACAAAACCTCAACTAATGCTTATAGTTTGGCTTCAATTCTGAAAGAGTGTGTCAAAACAAAAACCAGGGAAGCAATAAAATTGTTGGGGCTTTATTCTTGGGTTATCTACTACAGATTGTCTGAGGAATGCCAGACGCTGGGAACCTGGGAATCTTTATTTCTGAGTAATGGGATAAGGTTCCGCAAATCTGATAAATATTCTTTGCTTTGTTATGAAGGCTCCTTAGAAGAAAATGAGTCTGAAGCAGTTGATAGAGCATCAATTAGGCGTAGGAAGAAAAAGAAAAGCAGAAAGAAGAGAAGAAGGGATTTTGATGATGATGATAGCTATGACAATGGATTTCTGGATTTTGATACTTCAGATAGCAGGTTGGGTTTGCAATCTGGTGGTGGAAGTTGGTTGCTATCTATTGATGAATTTTCTACACCATGGACTAATGTGAGTTCATTGCCTTCATCCTCTATACATGTTAAACTTTTTGCTGCTGTAGAAAATGGTTAGAACTTTACTTTTGAAATTGTTCATTGTTCTACTGCTTCCATGGGGTGAGAAATTTCATGACATGCAATGATATTATCATAAATCTTGTAAACAAGCCATTTTTAGTAGGATATATCACGTTTATACCGCAATTGCTACTGAAAGAAGCATTTATCATTCCTACTGTATGAGCCCAAAATGAATAAAAAGGAAGAAACAAGGAAAATAGGTCCATTTATTCTTTTTTTTTCCTTAATATCTATATGATATGTCAAGTTATTTCCTATATTAACTGATAGTCTGTTTAGTGATGAATTTCTCAGTCCTTCCATGTCTACTTTCTTTTATACTGTTTTTGAGATGTGATAGGTAAATTAACATTTCATACTTCTTCCCCAAAATGCCTTACACATTAAATAAAAGTTCTAGAAAATTTATATAAGAAATGATAATCTAGGAAAAGATTTCTATTACTTTGTCAGTATTTTTTAGAAAATGAAGTAGAACATTCAATATAGAAGGGTGGCAGTACTTCCTATTCATGCCATACTTTTTTATTAACCTTGTTGTCCCATCCTGTGGTTTTCTGATCATATTCTTTATGATGATTGTAGGTAGATTTACCTGAGCACCTTTCAAATCACTGCTTGTCTACATGGATGAAGTGGCTTGTTTCCAAATGGAGTAACGTCGCTTATGCTTGGTAGGAGAGCGCATCCCTTCATTGTTTTGTAATGTTTTGATTTGTGAAGCTTATAGAATCATCCTTTAAAATCAGACAGATATCCCTTTTTGCTGTCTAAAACAATGATCTGTTATGTATGTACAAAAGCAGGATAGGCAGGTTTTGCTGTTAGTATTGATGGCTATTCCTAACATTTATCTATGCAATTCTTGCCAGATGGTTAACAAGTATGTTTATTTGGAGGTGAAACTTCAGCCAACGGCCATTTTTTTGTGCTTTCAACTGATAAAGGATGTGTACAATGGTGCGTTGCATTTTATTGAGCTTGATAATTGTCTTGGGCTCAGCTTTCGAATTTGACTGCCTTTTTCGCTGATAGGAAACTTTTGTCCACTAATTTCGATTTTGATTGGCAGGCTGGTTTGATATCATGTGATACAAGCTCACTGTAGGGTTTAGTTATTGCCAATTTGTCTTGAAAGGTATCTTTCAAGCATCATTTCCTTCATCATTATACATGTTAGGCTTTTTATGATTGCAAATACCTAGAATTTTACCAGGTTGCATGACCTTTAACAAGCTAGCAAAGCGATCAAAACTTATTCATTCTAAATTCAGTATATTTCTTGTAACAGGATAGCAAGTTAACAGAAATAAGATTGGAGAAGCTGAAATTTGAAGAATGGATGATCTCTTACGGGAGCTTTTTGAAGTACTTGGCTTGAGCTGTGAAGATCTGGGATCTTTAGGTAATTGATTTCCTTTTGATGTTTTCCCTCAGCTAGGCTCAAAAGCTTTTGCAGATGCTAACATTTTGTATGATTTTCGTCATGCTGCAGTGAATTTCAATGTCCACCACTGCCCTTTAACCCTTATTGTGGCAAGACGGAAAGGTCAATTGAGCTTTCAAGTTTCAAAAGCCAAGAAATAAAGGCAATCTGGACAAATTTGAGTTTTCTCAGCTTGATCTGGAGAGCTCTTCGTGTCAGCGTCAGCAAATGCCTACCGTCATTCTTCTAAAGCTTATAATGCTGGATGAAAATGAAGCACCCAGAAAAAGGCAAATCTCCCTTTCTGATCTGTAGCTTTGCATTGGATATCCATGCTTTGATTAATGTTGTCTTATATTAGATGTATCACTTTGCTTATAGGAAGCTGATTAACTAAGTCCTGCAAAAATAGTTTGCTGAATAAATCCAAATAAGTAATGAAGTCGTGAGGATTTATAGCCTACACAGAACTTGGGGAGAAAGGTTGCTGCAATTCCTTACCATACAATATATAGTATCCATCATCCAGCGAGGGGACTCAAGTTTACAACTTGTTTCCTATTGCGCATAGCGTGCATGTTTATTTCTCTTACAGTAAGGTAATCAGTAAATGTGATTAAGAAAAAAGGATCATAGAAGACATTTCTTCCGATGATCAAATTAAACAATTTGAAGAGTTTAATTGAGGAACCCAAATACAGCCATGTACAATGCTGTATCCAATTGAAATATGTTACATTTTGGTACAGAAACATCAGCCTACATCTCAGAGAGCTTCATCCTCAGATATCCATGAGCCATCAGTTTCAGATTCATTACGCCCTGCAAGGAAAAAAAAAAGGCAATTAACTTAAGGCCAAAGAAGGGGGAAGAATTAAATTTTGCGTATGACTTTGTAATAACACGCCTAAGAATGAGCAGAATGCAAATGTAACCCAAAATCTTTGAAGGACATAAAATCTCCTGTTAAGGTAGGTTGACTGGTAGTACTACTGGGCCTTACCAACAAGCTGCAACATGCAACTCATCTAGCTTTTTCAGATTCTGACATCGTTCCACAGATTATATTACAAGGCCCCAGAATTATACCTAACTCATGTTGGCCAAACATCAAAATATGAAACTAGATGAATACTCAAACCTACATATTTTTATAATGTCACCCAACATCCCGTTTCAAAAGAAGGTAATATTTCGTTGATCAAAAAAGCTACTTATAATTCGCTCTTCAGTCTATACCACAAATATGTCAGTCATTTTATTTCCCTGAATTGATTCCAGTTCAGTAAAATACTAGGGATCTGACTAAAGCCTCAAAACCAGTAACATTAGTTTATTGCACTCATTCCTTCCCCTGACCAAATCTGACCACCTTCCTCCCAACATCTCTAATTTCTATGTTTGCCTTGTTAATTAGCAGAGACTTGTTACCAACTTTCAGGTTCTGCAAGGGGGATTACTGACAACTTCAACTTGATTATGAGCAGAAATGAATGATTTCCAATGTTTGGGTAAAGAATAATTCAAACACAGTTACAGAGCCAGCACATGTAACATTACTGATATGAAAACAAGTGAGAAACAATCTGAAAGTTCCTGAAATCTCATAGAAGGTAATGATTATGAATTTAGGGCTGCACTTAAAAGAACGTAAAAGACATAAAAAGGATGAAACTACGTCAGCTTAGAACTAAAACACATAAGCAAAGACCTTGGTCTATCGTGATTCATTTACAGACCACGACCTCAAGACTTTAACAGGCCAAAACCTAATAAATATCCAATATTCCCATATGCATAAACAGCGCCAAACATTTTGTTTCACCATACTGAGACTAGCTGAAATATGGAGAGAGGCTGCAATAATCATAAAAAATTTTCTTGAATGCAAGCACAATGTTGATGCGCACACATTTAAAAATTAGACCCACTTCAGACAGATATCTTGTCTTAATAAATATGCGGTGATCTAGTCTGCTGTACATTTTTATGGCAAAGTGATATCACTGGCCTACAGTTCAAGAAAACTTACCCAATGAGACATATGCTGGAAAGCTTACATACTTTGGACATGAGGTCTTTGAAGCCAAACAGTTCCGAGGCTGTACCAAGAATAAATAATTTCAAGCCATGCATCATTTATACAATAAAAAGATGACTTTAATATAGATATTTCATCAGACAATGAAGATGGTTCTGCATGCTCAAGAATCATGCTAGGTAAAAGCTTTCTGCTAATCGATATCAAAGGTCCTGATGATCCAATCAGTTGCTCTCTTTCAGTAAAATAAAAGGTATGGTTTTTTAGCAGGAACTCAGAGATTAGCACTGTTAACACTAGGTTTCTTTAGGAACCGCTACATTTGTTGGTTGGTTACTCTGTCTTACAGAAAATGGATGATGGATTCTTCCCAGCTAAGTCCAATCAATGGAAGGACATAATAATGTAAATTGTTGAGGACATCAATTGTGAAGTACATGGGGGTACAAAGCTCATAACAGAATGATGCAACTTGTGAAGAGTGAGTGGTCAGAATCTAACCTTGAAATCCTTATAGAAGCATAAACGAATTTCCTCCACAGCATCTTTTGAACAAATAACCTCAGGTGTTGCCTGGAAAGAATTCTCAATGGCAGAGACAATGCCTCCAAGAGGATACCTTTTGCTATTAGAAGGAATATATCCAGCTTCATTCAGTATTTTCTGCAATCAAATAATTGTACAAGAGACTTGTTAGTCAATTTGATAAACAGATAAAACAACATATTATTTCCAATATGAACTAATCTGAAATATAATTCCTATATAAAACTAACTACTAAGAGAGTAACAAAAAAGATGACACAATCAACTTTACTCAGCAGTGGTCATAGATTTTAAGAGAAGAGATCGGTAACCTATTCATTAGACTTTTAGATACAACACAAAAAATAAACCAAGATGGCTAGGCAACAGAGCACCTAATGAAGGGTATAGGCAGCGATCAAAATAATGGAGTTAAAAATTTTAGTAATTTGTTAAAATAGATGTGCAAATATACTGTTCATGCAAGTAAAAAAAATATTAACAAGTGACCAATTGGACTTGAAAATTCAACAATTTATATATTACATCCAGCTCAGAAAGATTCCTTTTTCTCGTTTTTCAATCCAGATCTAGTTGTGGCTTAGATGGAGCCACCTGATACAGGCTAGCAAACCTTTCAAAAGCCAATCAATAAACCACACCTTGTTTATACCAGTCTTGATCTTTCAAAAATAATCTATGCTCCTTTTACAAATCTGATTAAACAAAATGCTCGATACAGTCAACTTGATATTCCAGGCAAATACCTGGTCACTGTAACAATAAAGTATGTTCCATTAGTATAAGGTTATATTTTGAAGTATAACAATAAGCAACTTATCTTTTAAAAATCACCTAGCCATATAAGATAGCAGTTTCATGCCTGAGTTAAAGTGCTAATAACTTGCTCCCATTGGCAGAGACACGGCTTGCTCTTTCACTAACAAAACTATCCCAACAATTGATCATTTAGGGCTGGATACCAAAGACATATAACATAGAACATTGGCACAAAACAGAAAGAAAACTTTTTTTCTCAGTAAGCATTCAATTATCAAGAATTCAGAAAAAATTGACAAATGTCACAAAAATCCCATACTTCTGGGTACTTAATAGGAATATGTGTCAACTCCAATAAAAATATGAGAACAAGTAATTGATAACACACTTTTGGCTTCCTGGATAAAATTTTCCCCCTTAAAAAAGGAGTTACACGCACATCCCAACTCATGGTGATGAGTATTTAGGACACAAACTGAACAACTAATAAACATAGAATTGTTTCTGCACGTAAAGGACTGAACCAACTTTTCTAAAACTTACCGTAACATTATATCTGAAGTAAACATTGAGGGTTGTTAAAAAGTAGCTGTATTCATCTCGAAATACTGGAAAGGAGCAAGTTCCATGCTTCTCTGCAAGTGAAAATGAAAAACTTATAAGCAGCAAATATAAATAGAGAAAAAAAGAGCAAATTTTAAGCCTGCAAGTGCTTGTTCATCAAAATTTGACCAAATTATTTGTCAAAATACTATTTAGGAAAGCAGCACACGTGCAAGGTTGCCACTGAATCCTCGATACTGAATAAAGGATCATTATTACTTCCTTAGGGACTATCACATTCTACTCTTGTTTCAAGGAAAATATATATTGCAGTGATTCATTTTAGTAATACTAAAAACAACCCTTTAACATGTTACACCACAGTAGCTATCTAAAGGAGTATATACCCAGACATGATACCAGCAAATTACTGTGATATGAAGGTATCATAAATATCACTTGTCATCATCCACAAAATCCCAAACCCAATCCCAAGATCATAAATCACATAGAAAATCCAACATGTCTTGTTACAAAACATGTTAATCACCTTTCACTCTTTTTATTAAAGCCTCCCATTCATTCACATATTGAATTATTAGTCTCTACAGGCCAATGAAAGCAAAGGAAGCGAAATAGGCCATATTAATGTAGTCAACTACTAGGCGCTAGCATTCCTTTTATTTTCTTTCTTTCATTTTTGGTCAAATGGCTGACGACTCAATGATGGCTAATATATTCCCATCCTTTTCACCCATCTGGTGTGCTTAAGCTGGAACCTATGACTTCTAATCTGCCACGGATTTTACATATGGAAAGAGCTGTCATTAAGCACTAGCATTCACATGGACCATGGCTCTAAAATTGCACTGACAGAAGCTATTTAAAGAGGGTTCAAATGTACAGCATGCACATGATCTCCGCATCCTAATTAATACCGCATACTTCTGTTCCAATTTAAATAGAGGAAAATATATAAAATGATCATGAGATGTAAATCATATCATATGAAAACAGAAGCTGAAGATACTTACCCCACTGTCAATGCACATGCCCCATTTCGGCCATCATAGAAACAAGAATGAAGCAATTATTAGTTTTGTGTCATGGTGTGAGTAATGATTTAGCAACATATAGAGATATACAACTAATATCCACCTCATGAGCCCAAAATAACCCTCTTCCACTGTAGCAAGTCGATGATTGGCCACAATATAAGGACGGCCAGTACTTCTCAAGCGCATCAAGCAATGTTGAGATCTACATGCATTTAGGAACAAAGATCAGGCAGGAGAGCATATTGACATGACACACGTGCCAAGCCAAATACACCAAACAACGAGTAGTAAGAGAAATAAAAAATATGGAAAAAGAGAACTAATCTAAGGATATATTCAGGGAACTGGTAGAATACAAGTCAGGACATAGAGGAAAACATGTGCCAATATAACAGCTTTTAATGTTTTAACTCTTAAGTTTTTCCAGAAATCAAGCCAACTTTTGAAGTTGCAAAGAAACTGAGATAGGCTCTTGTGCTATAAACTTTAAAGACATCTCTATGCTATAGATGCCTAAAGATAAAAAGAAGAAACTATTGAACATAATAATCAGAACAATGACATAGTGTCACAAGGTGTCAATTATATCATCAGCACATGCTCACTCTACATAGGTTAAAAAGTTAATAAAGAGAAAGTTGTTGCGCAGGCTTTAAAGCATCTCTATACATAAGCTGATTTTGTAAAATATAAAAGCTCTAGGGCATATGCATCACCTCGGATGCACTAATCAAACAAGTCCAGAAAGGATGTGGTTCCAAATTAAATTACAGAAACAACACACCTCTTTGACATCAAATTGAACTTGGGCACAACAGGAGGGCCATGTTCCATCATTATAATCTGGCCACAACCCATCTATCAAGCAGATAAAAATTAAAAAAAAAAAAGGACAAAAGATTAGTACATTTCTTTTGATTTCGCCATGTCTATAATGGATAACATCCAGGAAAAAAAAAAAGCACAGTTGGCTCTAGGAACAGTGGAAAGGCGGAAAACTTAAAAGCTATTTGAAAATCTCTCTTCCTTTAATAATATTACTTTGAAAATGAAAAATACAAAAAAAGATTGTGACAATTGCAAATTTTAAAGTTCCCTGCCCTTCATTTCTTTCTTATTACTAGAACTGAAATACAGGGCACAGCATTTTGATACATAATTTGATTATTGACCGACAGGGAATTTTCGGTAATATTCCACTGAATTTCAATCCAAGTCTCTATAATTAAAAAAAAAAAAAGAGAGATGAAAATTTCAAAACTTCAAAAATTGCTAGCAAAACAATCTAAAGCAGCCTTTTGAGCTCCTAGGTCATAGTTAACGTATAATCATACAGTCAATAATTTCAATATATCAAATAATAATAATAATAAATAGTGTATCCATGGACAAACACTTACGAATAGTAAATTCAGTTGGAGAATCGGCGCTGCAAGGAAAAAAAGAAATTTAAAAACTTAACGAAATTGGAGTAAAAAGAAATTGCAAGAATGACTGATTTACCCTCGGCAGCAGGCGTTGGAGGAGCAGCAATGGCGAGTTCCGTGGCAGATGGTGCCAGGCCATTGAAGAGACAAAGCGAAGTAATCGAACTCCCTCTGTCCTCCTTCTAGGCTTCCATCCACGCCTCCTATCAAACAGATAACCACCGTTAAGGCGATGCAGAGGAGGGTTTGGGCAGAGAGAGACGCCATTGTCTTTGACCTTTTTCCGTGTAAGAAAGAAACTCATTCTGAATTTATAGGAGGGAGGTAGCTGGAGGGAAGGACAGAGTTGTCATTTCGGATCGTTGCCTTAACGGACGAAGCAGGTGCAAAGCAATAATTGAAAGCAGAGAGGGGAATGGTTAGGGAACCTCGTTTTAGCTTGGTTTCGGTCTGGGACAGTTCTCGTTTTGTTATTTTATTTGGCTAAAACACTAGGCCCGAATTATCTGCCAATTTTAACCAATAGGGAATTTCACAACTTTGTTGGATTTCTTTCTCCTTCCAAAAGTGACGGTACAATATTATATTATTATTATTATAAAAATTAAAATCACAATCCAAATAATATTTTCAAACTTAATTTAATTTAAAAAGGGCAATGTTAAAATATCTAAATTTCACCATGTTACCTAATCTTGTAATATCATGTCAATATTTATTATAATTTATTAACATATTATATTGATATTATCTTATATCAAATAATAAGTAATATTTAAATTATTAATAGTAATTAATCAATTATTAATAATAAAAATGTATTTAAATTTTTAATACAATATATGTCTAAAATATTTAAAAAAATTAAAATCTTAAATGTCAATCTTTTACAATAATTTATCTTAATCCTAAATTAATATGAATTATTATTATCTAGAGTTTTTTCTTTCTTGCAGAATTTTTTTGTTTTGCTGTAGACTTTGATTATTATTATGATTAGGAAGACATTAACCTCTTCTAAAAAGATGTATATGAATCATTATTGTTTATGGAATTAATGATAAAGAAATCTTTTTGGCCTTCCCACTTTATGGTTTGGGGGTCCCGCGCCCGTTCGAGTGCGTCAAACAAACATCGGCGAGGCGTCAAACAACCCGACGGTATTCGCCCCCACCCCTAATAAAAATAAAAAATATAAATAAAAAGTAAATAAACAGCCCGAGACCCAGGGAAGTTACGGACCCGAAGCCTGAGAGGAGTCGAAAAAAGTCTCCGTCGTTCCCTTGCAAACCCTAAAAAGTACAACCTTCCTGGCCTGCTTCAGAACTCTCTCGAACTTTCTCTGATCTACCGATTATACCCTTCCACACTCTGTACTCCTCCCTAATTCCCTTCAATTCCAACCTTTTTCGCTTTCTTCATTTCACTGGTCAATTTCTCGAGCTTCCCCTTTCTCTTTTCGTTTTAAATTTTTATCTAGTTTTGCTTTTTTATTTGAATTTGTTGATTTTTCGTAGGTTCCTTGTACTGGTAGTGAAGCGCGAGGTTTGAGTTGAAAAGAAGAAGAGGGGGGAGCTTCCAGCTTGTGCTTTCTTTTCTCTTGATCTGAAAAAGCACCTCAGCAACTTTTCGATTCCACGTTAGAGGTATTCTTGATTTCTTTTTATGTTTTTTGTGTGTCTTAGTTGAAGTTTTTTTAATGATAAATTATGAAGTTTTTTCCCTAATTCTTCTTTGTTATAGAATTAGTGCCTGTTCCCGCAGTGTTCTTTATGTTTATGTTATTTCTTGGAAATTGATATAAATATGGAGTTTCCGGTGAGAAATTTAGTGGAAATGAGAATTTGAGAAGAAATTACAAACGGAGCAAATTTAATATAAGTTTGTAATTTTGGTGTTTGTTACATATGGAATATTAGCTGGTACTGCGAAATGAAGAAGCATAAATGGAGGTTCATGTTTTTAGTTGTTAAGCAGAATTTTGTAGCAAAGTTAGAGGTGATTAGCTAACCCTTTTATGACTTAAAATAAGCTGAAACCATGTTTAGATAAAGTTTTAGGTATTCCAATTCCATAAAAGTTCAATTTCTATTTCTCAGTACAATGAAAAAGCAGTCACTTGAAAAATTAGTAAACAAGGAATTTAGAATATATTTGTAAAGTAAAATATGCTATTAGTTGGCTTATTTGGGAAATTAATGCCATGGTCTTCTTATGAAATTTAACTGGGGCAGCATAGATATTATCAAAGCATCCTGAAATTTTGATTAGATTTATTGGGTCAGATGCCCCCTAATAAATCCACCCATAAACCTGCGTTTAGCTTGTGCTGCTTTGCTATGTTTAACCTAAATATTAACAACCATTTTGCTTTTTGTTCTGAAATGAAACTGTTATCTGGCTACCAAGCCTTTATCAGTTTTACTTGAAAATGTCCTTTGCCCAACTGTGCATTATATCAACCATTAAATTACTTGAAATATAAGGAGGGTTTCAGAGGGGCAGTGGGTCTTCTTCCTTGTTATTCATAACTAAATGTCTGCTAAAAAGTTTCCTAGTTTCATTCAAACTGTGTAAAAGGGGAACAAATTGAGAAAAAAATGTATTACCATAGGTATGTACACATTTCCTGATTCCAATTTCTTAATGTTAGAATTGGCCTTTTTACAATATATGACAGGCCTGTGATGGTTATGGTCAACTTACCAAAGATACCTACTGAAGATCTAATTGAATCTTTGTTTGACTTTATAGATGTTTTTACTTGATTTTCATGGATTTTTCGCTGACTATGGCTACAACATTGCAGTTGATGATGGTACATGTTTCATGAATCATTAACCCATGGATCTTGAAGGCAAGAAATTTGGAAAAGGTACTATATATTGAGAATGTTGATTTATTATTGTATTTTGTTGTTCTCATTCCATTTGTTCAGTTGAGATAGGGCTTTGGATATGCTATTAGGTTTTTATCTATTGTAATATTCGTCATTGGTGGATTATTTTTATCTTGGTGGTTGTATTTATTTTTCTTCTGAAGTTTAGCCTATCATATTGCCATACTGCAACAGATGTTTCAAGTTTGAGACTGACGGTCTTCCAGTCTTCTACCTGAATGAGAAAACTACAAATTGAAGGAAAGGAATTAAGAATCTCGAATCTTGTAGTTGATCATATCTGATTGTGTTGAATTCTAAAACTACCCTTTATGGTGCTAACAACTAATTGTGCTTGTCTTAGCCATAGTGGTGTGGAAAAAGAAAACAATGAATAGAAAACTAAAAGGGTAAAAGAAAACCAGCATAGGGACTGTATTTGATGTAAAATTGTAGTTGGAGCAATGAAACTGGGGTTGAGGGTTGTAGACCTCTAACAATAATATCCAAGTATAATATGGCTGCCTAATGTGTCTAAAAGACTATTTGTACTAAGGTTACAGCAGCTGTTAATCCTAGCCCTTGCATACGCCTGAAGCCAATCGGATCCTAGCTATTCAAACTCATTAACAGATCGCATGGTAGTCACATGACCACTAACTAAATAAAACAGTAAACATAAAAAAGATAATATCAAGATACCCATTGAAATAAATTCTAGAATACTCCTGTACCATGTTGGCTCTTTCTCTCCCTCTCTTTTAAGCCCTTAATGAATTAGTTACAAGATCTGTCATAAAATGAGCATTTCCTCCAAACCTTGAATTGCCCAAATGGTTTGTTTTCTCTTATTTAAGATATGCATATCTCTTTCATATTGAGGATTCCTAATTGAAAAAGAAAGTCGTACCGCCAACTTTCATTTAAACTAAATTTAACTTTTGTAAGGACAGTAACTTTATTCTTTTTATGAACCTAATTGAAAATAAGCAATTCTTAATTTTTTCTATTTATCATTCAATGTTATAAATTCAAATAATGTTTTCAAACATACATAAGGGGTCTAAATCCTCACAAAGCCATGTTGTAAAGAAATTTGGATGGAATTTAACATCTCTATGAGGCCTAAAAGCATTTTGGTAAACATAGGTGCAATTGGATTATTTAGCTTAGGCCTTAAGTCTGTTTTCTGTGATTTTCCTTTATAATCCTTTCCCTTTCCATTTTTCCCTTTTCATCTGTCATTTAGAATATGTCAATTATTCTGATAAAGTATCCTTACCGATAAAGTTTGCAGACTGTATGTTTTCTCCATGAGGAAAATAATTTAAGGATGTTGCTTTGATATCAGTCAGTATCATTATGATATGGCACTCTCAATACTGTATTGTATACTGTGTCATTCTAAAATATCTGAAATTCATGCATGATGGTTGTTTAGCTTGTTTATATCACTACATAACTGTCGTATATTTATACATAAAACTATCTGTCTTATATATTTTTTACCTTGAAAACTTTCCTTATAAAAGAGTACTGAAGTATTATTAAATTAAAAATGTTGAGAGATTATAAAGTTATTTTATTTATTCAATTTACCTCATCAAATACTTACCGAACATCAGCATAAGACCGTCCACTATCTATTACTTGCGAACTAAGTTGCTCAAATGATGCAAAAGTCACACTTGATGCATGCTGCATAACAGTATTACTCATATGACACTAGTTAGATGATTTTGGTTTGGTTTAACATTTGAAATGTTTGGATGGAAAATTTCAGTCAGTCAGTCAGTCAGTGACTGTAATTTCATGTAAAGTTATTTGGCACTGGATTTATTATTATTGTTCTTTTTAACTGATGAGAAATTGTTTATATGGATAAATTTATTTAGGACCAAGAGAACTTAGTGGTGCTGTTGATCTTATAAGTCACTATAAGTTGTTGCCTCACCACGACTTCTTCTGCAAGAGACCTCTTCCTTTGTCAATTTCAGACACACATTATCTTCATAATGTGGTGGGAGACACTGAAATCAGAAAAGGAGAAGGGATGCAGTTGGACCAGCTTATTCAGAATACATCCCACAACAGAGACACTAATGCCCGCATACAGCCTTTTGACCTCGATATTCTTAAGGAAACTTTCCAGCTGAGAGAAACCACTCCTGTCGAATTGCCATCGGTAAGAAAACTGCTTAGCATTATTTAAGTTTCTTAAGCTAAAGGGCAGTCCTAGGCATTGTGCCATTGTTTCGTAAATCAGTATTTACTCTTATTGACATGTTTCTTTCTTCTTTAGCCGTCACCTCGATTGGAGTTCTTAACCATTTGTTTATTTCATAGAGTGAGAAAGGGATTCCTACGATAGCTGGGAAATCAAAGAGTGAAGCCAAAGATAAAGAAAGGAAGCATAAAAAGCACAAAGACAGAGATAAGGAGAAGGATAAAGAGCATAAGAAGCACAAGCACCGTCATAAAGACAAAGATCGAACTAAAGATAAAGACAAGGACAAAAAGAAGGATAGAAGTGGGCATCATGATTCTGGTGCTGATCACTCAAAAAAGCACCATGAAAAGGTTGGAAGTTGTTACATCTTGCAGCTATTGCTTGATTATTTTGGCCCTGAGTATAGTGTAAAGATTGTTAAAGTCCTCACTAGTATGGCTCTGATGATTTGCCTAAGGACTCAAAAATTTACTCAGCTAATTTGTCCACATTATTTCCTTTATGCTATGCATGAGGCATTCTCTTTTGACTATAAAAAACAAGCAATTCTGCCAATGCCAGGAATAAAACAACTGTTGTCTGTCTCCCTGCACAAGTTTGCCTTTTGATTTGTGATCAGAAAGTTTATCAAAAAAAAAAGTCCCCTTGTTTGAAATTTAGTTACTTTTTAATGGAATTCATATAAAATTCGTTATAATTCACATAATTTCAGAAAAGGAAGCATGATGGAGATGAAGATCTTAATGATGTTCACAGACACAAAAAAAGTAAGGTAATGCATATCAGCCTTGGTTTTGCATTGTTATGTTGTATTATATGGATTATGTTTTATATTGTTATATGTTTAGCATTAACTCTCACTTCCTTCAGGAGTACTGCCGATATACCTTGTCTACTAACCCCTTTGGCTCACTCTAATCACGCTATAGAATTAATTTGTTGCAGCATAAAAGCTCAAAAATTGATGAAGTTGGTGCAATTAAAGTAGCAGGCTGAAATGGTGGCATTCTATAGTTCATTTGTTGTTTCAGATGGTTGTCAGAATTTGGAAGGGTTTGCTTAATGTTTTCTACATTTCTTGAGGTGAATGTCCATATTGTGCTGTTTTAGTTGATTCTCATTGTATTTTTCTTGTTCCTCTAAATAATATACACTGTGAAACGAGTATTGAAGTGCAAGGATTTACAGAAAGTTATATATGAATATACCCCCTAGATCTACAATAATGTTCTTCACCTCCCTATATGATAAAACACTATGTACTTCATTCTTACCTCACTCAGGCAATCAAGATACAATGAATAAATAATTGTGAACACTAAATATTTCAGTGTATTAACAGTGGATTAGAGGTGGACTGTTTGCTGCATAATGTTTAGTACAGTTTTTAAAAATGTTTAAAAATAGTATTTACATAGCAATTTTGTACGTGTAGCTGAGCAACTGGCTTTTATAGAATGTTGTTCCCAACTTTTTCAGTCAAGCCCATGTAGCGAGGGTGGTAAGCAGTGGATCGGCTAAATTAGTAATTTTTTTTCGTTGTTGCCAGACAATTCTGTAGCTGAATAGGTTGTGGAATAGCATTGTTTGGCTTCTGTTTAGAGGAAATTACATCGTTAATTAGTTACATATTTCAAATATTCACAATTGTAGTTTTGGGATAAAGATTCTGATGAGCAGGAGAAGGATAGTTATTATTAAAATAAATTATGTATCCTTCTTCTTACTCTTGAATTGATGTAAACATGGCCTATTCTCTTGATAGGATTGAATTTCAATTCTCTTCCCACTATTCATTATGTGACTTGTTATTTATTTATGAGACAGGCTTTTTTTGTTATTAGTATTGTCCTTTTATCTTGGGCTCTGGGAGTGGGGTTGGGGGAAGGGTGTTTAAATGCCAGTTAGGTTTTAAATGTTGTCTCACTCAGCCTTTTTCTTGTTTTTGTGCAGAGTAGCTTGTAAACTGACTAAAGAATGTGTAGAAGGTGAATTCACCCATTGATGGATATTTCATGCAAGGTATAAGATGCTGAAAAATGGACTTTTTGTATCATAACATTGGGCTAATATAATTACTGGTAGCTTGCAAAACTTTGATCTTTCTTTTTGTAGCACGTGGATGACTCTGCATGTACACATTGGTGTAGTCTTGTGTCATTTTAGAGGGTTAAAAGCCTAGTTCTGAAATCCGTTTGATTTAGGAATTGCAGCTTTTGATTGTCGAAAGAATAGGTAGATGGGGCTGTTGTATTAATTACCTCAGCCCTTTTTTGTCATAACCATGTCTAACGTCAAATGGGTTTCTAAAAGGTTGTAAGGCACGTCTTTGTCACATGGATCCCTAGTTTCTTTCTTTTTCTTCTGGAAGGGGAAGGGGGTGGTAAAGTCAATTGAAAGCCCCTTATAATTGGATCGTCAAGCTAACATCACAGAAACATGAGGGGCCGCGCTGGCTGCTGGCTGGAATAGTATTATTATTGTTATTGTTTGCCCTTAACAGATTTTTCATCTGTTATCGGGCGAAGCATATTTTGGGGTGAATTTACCAGTCATTCCCTTGTCTGCTCAGGCTAATTGCATGTTTAGTTTGTAATACTATAGATGTACGAGTTTAGTGAAGAAGGGTGCGGCCATCGGCATTCATTAGTAATCTGAAGCGGAATTAGCTCCTGACTGAAACTTTCCAGCTGTAAACAGAATCAAAGGAGCGCCACCTCTTTTTTTCGGATTATAGATAGATGTCTAATGATTTTGATACTAATAAATTGGACCTTTTTCTAATCATTTGGTATCGAGTTCACTGCTGTGTATGTGAAAAACCAAACAAGTTTTTGGACTTTGGAATTAAAATATACATCAGAAGCCCTAAAAACGATGCCAGTCAGCACGACAAAGATTCTAAAATTATAGTCGGCCAATGAAATCTAATATATATATATATATATATATATGCAAGTAGTTGATAATTGATCTAATGCCGCCATCACCATGTTCAAAGTTGAGTTGGCTCATTTTCTTTGACGTTGGAGGGCCAGCAGCACCTCAAAGATGACCAATTTGCGTGACTTTTGAGAATGTGGTTAATTAGCATCAAAAGAATAACATACAGAATTACGAATCCCCGACAACCATATTCAAAAACAAAGGGTAAAATATGGTATTATGAAACCATACTATTATTTTCTGCTTTTGGCTATGAACTGAACCAAAAAGCAGTAGGGTATGCCTCTTTGGAAACTAGTCTTAGAGCCAGTGATATTGTAATCTAGGTTTTGAGAGATCCACTAGTAAAAATACGTCAAGCAATGGAAAGTTCTTGTTAGCCTAAAAATAATGCTATTATTTATTTATTTGGGATGTGCCTCTTCTAAAGGAAGCAATCCATCTGCTCAAAACTACAAAGGAAGCCATGTAGCGACAAAAGAATTATGGAATCCAAAACAATTGTTAGTGCATTATTATTATTATTATTACGGAGGAAAGAAGTCCAGTTGTTTCACATGTGAAATGAATTTAGGCCATCAAGGGCTTCTCCTTCTCCTTCTCCCCATCATCATATAAATCAATGGTGGGAATATATTAAACCGTCAAGAAATTCATCATTGGAACAAGTGAAGATGAAAGGCTTACACATATTCATATAGGATAATATCTTACAAGAAGTAACCAACGGTAGTTCCAGATACAATGATGAACTTTACACCCTTTTTTCCTTAACGGTCCTAGGCACTAATAATGCTTCTCAAGGCCCTATGAAATTGGAGTTATTATTGATTTTGGTTGCAATAATGACCCTAAATTTATGGTCATGAAAAAGGCATTAAAGAAATTTTTTCTAGTTTGTCCAAAAGTATTTTTATCTGCTGGTAAAATCTAGCCTGAAAATGTTTAATAGCTGCAAATCACTGTTGTTACTATTAAGCAAAAAGCAATAGCAACTTGATCTTGAATATTCTTTTGCTTTATAATTGCTCTCCCATGCTCTGAAAATCACCATCAACTTTCCCTTTATTCCCCTTTGTTTTTTCATTTGCTTTTCCAGACAAATAAAGTTCCCTTTGTTTTTTTGACAGCAAGTGAGACTGCTCCTTTCCTTATCCCCACACTTCTTGCTTTCTTATTTACATACATGGTTAACAATTATGCTATGGTACCACAACTTCATTCCACTTTCATCTTCCTCTGCTTTTCTCTCCCCCTTTTCCTTTTTTGGTCTATCTTGTTTAGCAAGTATCCTATAAAGTTTGTGCCTGCAAAAATCTAAGATGCTGCACTTAATTACCCTAAACCCGTTACTCACAGAAAGAAATAGATTCCAAACATCCAAGCTTGAGGATGTTGCCAGGAGTATATGTCTCGTCTCGAGTACCTCATGCAGTCTTTTTCCCATGTCCTCGTTATTATTTTAAAGACGACAAACCCTTTATTCTTATTATGTCTTAAAATCTATATAAAACACACATTTAAAATAGAATATCAAACATCAAATACGTCATGCTTTAAATAATTATCATTTACATTAATTTTGAAATATCAAATATTATTTCTGCATGTATTTCAGGTGTCGGAAAAGTCTCGAATATAAACACATTAAGCTAAATAGATGAGTCCATGCATGTAACATTTTGTTTCTTACTTTTGCTATATAAAGTGAAGGGGCATGAAATCACAATTTGGAACCAACAAGTTGGTCTGTCTATACTGCGCACTGTGACTTTTATGTATATCAACTTAAGGCCAAATCTTGATAAATTGGTGAAGAAATGACAAAATGTGTTAGGTGGCAGCAATGTTCAAATATATAGATATATATATATGCATAATGCGAGCAGCAAGACATAGACCAGCGACCCAGAGTCTCTGAACCTTTGCTCATGCCACCAGATAGAATACAAATACAACAACCACAACTATATGTAAATTTTAGCCTTCCCTAGCTCTTATTGGACAATAACATCATCATCCACCCCGCTTTAGGTGAGTATTTACTCTTGTTTAAGGTGGCTAGTGGATTCATTTTTGTCCAATTCTAGACAGATTTTTCATTTATTAATTACCCTAAAGAAAAAAGATTTGTCATTTATATGTGGAAATTTTCTAATAAAAAAAAAAGGGAAGAAAACAAAGTCTTGGGCCTGACCTTTTAAAATCTTTCAACTTTTGGTAGGGGAGAGAAGGCTCACTTTCGAAGCTTTTGGTATTTCCTATAAATTTTAAAGTCCAAAAGAATGAAGAGAAAGTCACCAGCATTTGAAAACTCAATCAAATGTGGGATCAAAAGGGGATTTCAGGACAAAAATTAGGCAGTGACAGAATCCTTAAGATATACCCTACTGGATGCCTAGCCTAAACATATAATAATGACTTGTGGTTAAGGCAATAGCAGACATGATTACACACTAGGTTTAAAGAATTTTGCACAATTTTATTACCTTTTTAAGCTTAAACAAATGAAGTAATCTACAATATTAGCATAAAAAAAATTGGGATAAAGCCAAACCCGAAATTTTGTATTTTTATATTTATTTGAGTATTTAAGCAAATACTAAAATGCATAAGGCCCAAATTTAATCTCTCCTAATAATTATATTTTTTTAAAAAGAACTTCACAAATTAATCACACATTTGTCTCCATAACAAAGGAAAAATATTATAAAATGTTTAAATTTCAAATGTAAGTCTCACTATATAACAAGGGAAGAAAAAGTCAAAAAGGGGATATCATGCCAACTATATATGTTGTTGTAAAATTTGGCTTGATCCGACTTCCCTATCTATTTTGTAAGATTAATAGCAAGGAATGGCTACTAATTATCATAGTCACTTTCAAAGAAATTGACATTGATGGCCTCACCTCCTATATTTGCTTCTTTACTTAATAATTCAACTTAGAGAATAAGGGATAATTTGAAAGTACGTGTTGCTCTTAATTTTACTATAACACTGTAATTAGTCTCTTACTTCATCTCTAATTATAACCCTAATATATATGGTTTCTTGGGTAAATCACCATGCACTAATTAAGTTAATAGTTAATTTGTTTAAGTGATGAAGCTTGATAGGTTTATTGATGCATGATGGGATGAAATGACTGCTTGGCACCACTTTTGTCTAAAGCAAAGCTAGAAAGAAGTATGTTGCACGATGTACCCGAAAAGAAATTAAGTACCATTTACGTAATTGTATAATTTACTGAACATTGAGTATATTTGACAAAATAATAAGGAATACATTCCCCCTTTTGCATATGCTTGTCGTGGGAGTCATGCAATGCAACCCATTTTTGTAAGGGAAAGAGTACAAATACTTTGCAATTATTTCGCTTCATCATGGAATTGTTTCTTCAATCATGTACACCATTGGGTATCTTACATATAAATTTAAAAAAAATATATATATATATATATATATGAAGAACAATTAACACCCACTTGCTTGTTAGTGTATGGTTTGGTAAGCAATCTCATATGTTACAAGAAATTGTTTAGCCCGAACCCTTTATTTAATGGAAAGGAATGTAGCTACTCAATAAGGGATTGGTTCTTTTTCGACCAAACAACAAACAATGCAATGCAACATATAATAGTAATGACATAATTGTTAATAATTATTATTGATACATATTTACATAATTATGTGTTATTTTTAACTTGAATTGCACGTAAATATTTTATATTAAAAAAAGTCAAAAAAAATGCATACATTAACCTATCTAATGATTTACGATTTCATTGAAGTTGCATGGATATAACTTATAATATGTGTTTGCAATTCATTCTCACGATAAGATGTGCAAAATAAACAAAAACGTACTCAAAGAGGTAACAAATAATGATAACCGTCACTCTTTAATTTTTAATTTTTTAAATTATTTATATAAAAATTTGATATATATATATATAATATGATTATTATTATTATTACACTTTAATCATTTTTCATACAAAATTTTGAATAAACACATTTGCACTCATTCCTTTGTAAAATCCGAACACTTTGATCAGTGATTGACTGAATAGTTTAACAGAAGAAGAAGCCTAAGCAGTGAGGCAATCACAGGCAGAGGTTCTGAAAATTATATTGATTGATGTCGGCTCGCTGGTGGTGCTGATGGCATACATAGAGGGAAAACAAACCTCAATTAATCATCTTGCAATTATTTATACAAATAATAAGTCATTATAATAACAATATAACATACAAGTTATATATGGGCATAAACAGAGGAAAGAGGATGGTTAGGTCAGATCCACGAATATTATAATTTAGTTCAAAACATAAAATAAAAAATACGAAAACGGTAAGCGTCGCCCAGTCCCAAGTGACGGGAATCAAAAAGGGGGTGGGGTGGTACAACTACAGCTACAAGCCATGGGTTTTGTTTATTTAGGCTTTGATTTGGGTTGTTGTTGGGTCACTGCGTCAGCGTCAAATGGAGGTGAGAGTGTCGGTGCTGTAAAGAGGGGGTCCGTTCCCACATGTGCTCACTGTTTCCAAATGCTTGGAAGGTTTCTAATTTGTCTTCTGTTTTCGTCCCTGTAATTCCCTATAAATGCCTTTTGTGGAATCCAAGTTTTGTACTACTGCTGCTACCACTGCCATGTTCTGCATTCGTACAAAGCCATATCGGATTTTCCAGGTTTCTTTCTTTCTTTCTTTCTTTCGCCATATAATCAAAACTGTCGTGCAAGGCCAAGAAAAATTCAAGGGCAAATAAATTGTTAAGCAGTTTCAATCAGATTAGGAGGCAAATGTTAAAGAATCAACCTTAACCTATTATTAACAAAAGAATGAACCGATTATGTGGCTGGGTGGTGGTGCGTCTTATCAACCAAGCCGTCTGATATAAAAAGGTCGTTAATGCTAAAAGGCCAGTGAAAGTGAGGGTGAGTGACGGGTCAGTGAAACTATCGGAGCCTAAGATGCCAAGCTCTCGAACGCAAGTACATTTGAGCGAGGCCGTTTTTATTGACCTAAAATCGCGGCCCGTAAATGTCGGTAAAATGCTAGAGTGTAAAGCCACGCCTTTCTACAAACTTATGTCAACCATGTATCCGCTGCTCTGTATTTCTCACTGTATTTCAGATATTTGGTTAAGACCGTGTTTGGAGTAAATAAAATTTAAAGAGTTACTAAAACTTGATCATGGTTCTTTCTTGGCTACTCTCCCTACGAATTAGATATTCTATCAGAAAAGGGTCATCATTCTTGTAATATTTATGGTCTAAGTTTAACGATATTAGCTAGCAGACTCTAATAACACTTGTCCCAAAATACATGTTTAACTATTGTGAGATGATATCAATAAATTACATTGTTTTAACGCTTATAACTTTTCTTAAAAAGAATTAAGGATCCTTTGGCTTTTGGGATTTTGTTGTTTGCATGGAAAAAATCTTTATTTATTTATTTATGGGAGGGAAAAATCTAGTGTAGAAGAGGAAGAGAACAAGGGGTGAGAGAGAGGGGATTGTTTTGCATGGGATTGCAAGGAAAGAGACTTTTTGGATAAAAGCTTAAGTCGCACTCACACTTTCAGTATCACTTTAAAAACTAGTAAGTATTTCGAAAGAAAGTTTCAAAGTTGTGGATTTGGGGAATATGCATCTACTTTAGTTGATCACGTAAAAGGTTATCTCCCTTCAACATTTCTCTAATTGATACTATGATAAAGTTGATTACGCGCAAGTGTTCTTCTCTTAACTTTATATGCATAACACATGTTACCTCTAACAAAGGAAGAAGAAACTTGGACACCTTTAGGGAGCCAGGATTCTATCATTAGTGGCTGAGGAAACCATCTCTTTGGATTTAGCTTTAAATGTTGATAATAATAACAATAACGGTGACAGCAAGCCCAAAAAAACAAAAAAATAAAGAAAGAAAGAAAGGATTCTCAAGAGTAAATTGGGAATTGAAAGCAATGCTATGGTGGTGAGGTGAAGAGGGGTACATGAGACCCGATAGGATATTTTTTGTTCAGATGTGCCCTTTTTTTGTTTGCTGTGAATAAAACTAGGTCTCATCTCAGCAAAGCATAACTCAGTCTAAGCGAGTCTAATACAAATACAAAAAGAAAACAAATAAAGAAAATAGCCCTCCCCAACTGCCTGCACCAGCAGAATCTTAGCTGGATGCACCTCCCTCGTCTCTCCTCTTTCTGCTACTGCTACTACGACTACTGCTCTCTTCCACCAACCTTTCCCTTTCCCCTCCCCTCACAAGAGAATAGAAAGGAAAAGAAAAGAAAAGAAAAGAAACAATTAGTCCCCACAAACCTCACACCATTAGCTCCATTCCTTCCACTTCTTCTCTCTCTCCCCTCCCGCCGCACCTGCAAAAGCACAATGCTCTCCTCCTCCTCCTCCTGCTTCTTCTTCTTGTCCTTGTTTCTATCATGTGCCTCACTTCACATTCCTACCCGTAGGATCCTCCATCAACCTTTCTTTCCTTAGATTCTATCCCTCCATCTGAGCCTCCTTCTCCTTCTCCTCCTTCCCCTCCCACTCCCAAGTATCCTTTCTCTCTTCCACTTCCACCCCTCCCGATTCCCCCTTTTTCCCTGCATTCCCTTCCGCTCCCTCCTCCATCTCCTGCCTCTTTCGCATCCTTCCCTGCCAACATCTCCTCCCTTATCCTCCCCCACACTCCCTCTCCCAAACGCAATTCCCAAAAACTCCTCATCCTCGCAATCGCCGCCGTCATTTCCGCCACCATTGTTGCCGCCCTTATCGTGTTTTTCTACTGCCGACGCCGTAGGCAAAAACGTAATTTCTTGACGATAACAAGACCTTAACATCAGACAACAGCAGCAGATTATACCCCAATAGCAATAACAACCCAACAGCAATGTTGATGCGTCGTAAGCTCAGAAAACTTCCACAACCAGTTCCGAATTCCTTTATTTGGCACTTTGGTAAATTCACGAGGCGGAATTGACGATGGCTCCAATAATTCGCGCGGCAACACTCCGTTGGATCCTAGGAAAATGGACTCCCCGGAGCTCCAGCCGTTGCCGCCTTTGTCTCGACAGAACACTGGTCGGAACTTTCGAGACGGTGAAGTGCAGTCGGTTACAGAAGAAGAAGAAGAAGAGTTTTATTCGCCGAGAGGATCGCTGGGCGGTCGAGAGAGTTCTAGTGGAACGGGATCCGGGTCAAGAAGAGTACTTGCGGCGATTGCTGCAAAAAGCATTCAGTCTAGTAGTACTTGTTCGTGCTCATCTTCGAGTTCGGGTTCACCCGCCAGGTCTCAGTCTCTTAGTATTTCTCCGCCGGTTAGTTTGAGTCCGGGAAGATCCGACCCGAAATCTCCAGAAATCGTGCAAGTTCAACCTTCTTTGTCTCCGGAGAGGATTTTAGTAGACTCACCAAGAGTTTCGAATGCGTCCAATGGAAATGCACAATCTCCCTCGCTGACTTTAACTTCTACATCACCGGATAGGGTGTTTGTAAAAGAATCTGATGATCAGAGGGTGCATTCTCCTTCCTTGTCTCCGATATTGGTCGAGAACCCGAATTCATCTGTTGTCCCGGATCGTAATATGGGGTCACCTTCGCTGTCTTCGGCTACAACTTCACCAAATAGAGTTCTGATAGAGAAGCTAGATGCATCTATTAGGAATTTTAATGAGTTGGTTCAGAACATGAGGACTCCGTTGATTATATCTTCAGCTGCTACTAGTTCACTGGCTAAAGAAGCTCCAATTAATGATCTGGATCGATACGAGACAAGGTCTCCGTCAGCTTGTTCAACTTCTACTTCACCTGATAGAAACGTGGTAAACAATCTGAGTGAATTCCCGGGAATGGTGAATGATATGGGTCGAAATGTAGTACGGTCTCCTTTACTGTCCTCAGCCTCTACATCCCCAGACAGAGCTTTGAACGAGAATGAACAGTCTCCTTTACTATCATCGGCTTCGTCATCACCAGACAGAGCTTTGGAGAAAAGCCCAGAGATGTCTACTTCACCTGATAGAAACATGGTAAACAATCGGAGTGAATTCCCGAGAATGGTTAATGATATGGGTCGAAATGTTGTACGGTCTCCTTTACTGTCGTCAGCTTCTACATCTCCAGGCAGAGCTTTGAACGAGAATGAGCGGTCTCCTTTGCTATCATCGGCTTCGTCATCACCAGACAGAGCTTTCGAGAAAAGCCCAGAGATGTCTCCCTTGATGGTTGGCGTTTCGAATTACAATAAGGGTTCTTTGTCATCTTCGGCTACTTCATCACCAGGAAGAGACTTGGAGAAAAGTCCAGATGCATCTCCGGTTAGAATTAGCAGGGCTTTAGAGAAGCCAATCTTGACTCCACCGCCGCCGCCACCACCTCCGCCACCTCCAAAGCAACGACGGCTCTGGGAAAAACCAGTTTCCTCAGTATCTTTTGCACAACAGATATCGAAGCCGCCTCCTCTAATGCCCCCTTCCATGCCGTTTATGACACAAAACTCAATTAAGATTTCTCCTGCCAAGTTGCCGACGAGTTCTGAGCCAGAGGCAGTGGAGGTAGAGGAGGCTTCGAAACCCAAGTTAAAGCCGTTACATTGGGATAAAGTGCGCGCCAGCTCTGATCGTGAAATGGTGTGGGATCACCTCAGATCAAGCTCATTTAAGTACGATTGCAACCTCTCCTTAACTGTGGAGTTCTTGCTTTAGTGGTTATAGTTTAGTTGAATTAAGCTTTTTCATGCGGTTCTACTGCATTTTTGAATAATTTGATAAGAGTTTGGTTTTTGCAGGTTGAATGAGGAGATGATTGAAACACTATTTGTTGTAAACACACCAAATTCTAAACCAAAGCAAACAACTCCACGCTCTGTTCTTCCATCACCAAACCAAGAGAACAGAGTGCTGGATCCCAAAAAGGCTCAGAACATTGCAATTTTGTTACGGGCACTCAATGTGACTGTCGAGGAAGTTTGTGAAGCCCTTCTAGAAGGTAAAATTGTTATTTAAAAATATCAAATATGACATTTTGGTTCATTGGTTGCAATTATTGTTCAAATTTTGTTGATTTTAAGACATAAAGGTCCATAACTTACTCATTGGTCATTAAGCTGGCCTGTTGTTATGGCATTTTGTCTTGTGCTCCTCGAGCTTTACTTAAAGAATTTTTTCAGCTGAAGTTGTCAGTGAATTTAGTGGTTTTGTTACAACTTTGGATCAGTGCGTAACAGTTCATGGTGCAAGTTTTTGAATGAAAGTTATTATTATAGTTTAAGTTTGGATTACTTCAGAAACTTTTTCCCATTTAAAATATATAGTTTGCATTTCTAGCATTGCTGTGGTGCAAACTACTGAGGATTGAATTGTCTGTCATAATATGATTGATTGCTTTAATTTCCAAATGCTTTTCAATAATTTGCATTGTTTTGTTTAACTGAGGATCCTGAATTAAATGGTTCACTAGTTTTTGAATGAAGCCAACTCTTGTGAAATAGTTGGCTTTCTGTATATACTAAGAAAAGATATTCTCACTAAATGCTTATTTGTAACTTTATATTATACAAGACAAGAAGCAGACAACTTTATATTTTTGGCAACCCTTGCTCTTTTGAGTTTGCATTGACAGCTTTAATATCCTTGCCTATGATCAACCACATGGTTTCTTATCTCTTGAATTGTTCTGTATGGGACTAAAAATCACATCTATGATGATACAGGTAATGCAGATACTCTTGGCATGGAACTTCTTGAAAGTTTATTGAAAATGGCTCCAACAAAGGAAGAAGAACGTAAGTTGAAGGAGTACAAAGATGATTCGCCAGTCAAGCTTGGTCCTGCTGAGAAATTTTTGAAAACTGTTCTTGATATACCGTTTGCATTTAAAAGGGTGGATGCAATGCTGTACATAGCCAACTTTGACTCTGAAGTTGAATACCTCAAAAAGTCTTTTGAAACTCTAGAGGTAATTCAACTCAATTCAATACTCTGTCTGTTTTGCACATTTTCTTGCCTTCGTCCTATTTTCTACTTTGTTAGTTGCTTAGTTCCACTTGTGTTAAAAGGTGGATATTGTCCAACTACCATATCCTTCATTGTCATTTAGAAATTTTCAACTTCTAAGACTACATATATCAATGACAATTGAAACCTTTGTCAAAGTTTTTCTCTGAAGTAAAATATGAATGACTAATTAATTGTTCCTTGACTTTAGGTTATTTCTTGCCTGACTGCCTGATCAATCCATAATCTTGTATAGGCATTTTAACAGGAAGAATATCAAGATCCAACATGTAGCTTTTTTGCTCTTTATATTTTGGCTATTGTAATCATTGCAGTAGTCTAAAAGATATTGTGTGTGTGTGTTCACTTGCCTGAGCATGCGAGCAATGCTTCTTTCCACAGAATACTGTCAATGCTAAAGCCTGTTTTTTAATGATGGATTATCGAAACGAGTATTGCTGGATCATGAATTATCTTCAGCTGTATCTCATTTCTTTTTCCTTTTGACAGGCTGCTTGTGAGGAATTGAGAAACAGTAGGATGTTTTTGAAGCTTCTAGAGGCTGTGCTCAAGACTGGGAACCGCATGAATGTTGGGACAAACCGTGGTGATGCCCATGCCTTTAAACTTGATACGCTCCTTAAGCTTGTTGATGTCAAGGGTGCGGATGGGAAGACTACACTTTTGCATTTTGTTGTGCAAGAAATCATAAGAACTGAGGGTGCTCGGCTTTCGAATGCCAACCAAAACCAAACACCAAACTCCACTTTAAATGAAGATGCTCGGTGTAGGAAGCTGGGTTTACAAATTGTTTCTGGTCTCAGTTCAGAGCTCACCAATGTGAAGAAAGCTGCTGCAATGGACTCTGAGGTACTTAGTGGTGATGTCTCTAAGCTTTCTAGAGGCCTTGGAAACATCAGCGAGGTTCTAAAATTAAATGAAACGATGGGGTCAGATGACAGCAGCAAGAAACTTTCAGAATCAATGAACAGGTTTATGGAAATGGCCGAGGAGGAGATTATAAGGATTCAAGCCCATGAAAGTGTGGCTCTATCTCTAGTGAAGGAGATTACAGAATACTTCCATGGGAACTCAGCAAAGGAAGAAGCCCACCCATTTAGAATATTTTTGGTGGTGAGAGATTTCCTTACAGTTCTTGATCGGGTATGCAAGGAAGTTGGCATGATAAACGAACGAACTATTATTAGTTCGGCCCATAAATTCCCAGTTCCAGTGAATCCAATGATGCCACAAGTTTTTCCAGTTCCCGTGAATCCGATGCTGCAACAAGCATTTCCCGGATTACAAAGGCCGCACTATGGTTCTGATGACGAGACTGCATCACCATAGTGTTTGCAGCTTGTAACAGGTCGAAACTTATCGGTAGAAGCTGCCTGCCAAAATTGGGTGGTCTGGGTTTGGAGCTTGTATGGCCTGGCCTGCAAGGTCTTTTGTAATTTATTTATTTATTTTTTCTTATTTTTGTATCTGTATAAATCCATGTACAATATTTTGGGAACGGTTTTGTTATTAGATAAATATACGAGAGGAGATTTTCATGGGATAGAAGCGAGGCAGTCTGCTGAATTAGTTGGATGTGTTGTAAGCCTATCAGAAACTTGGCTTATGGAGACGCCATTTAAATATAAGAGAGAATACTAGACTAAATTTTCTGTTATATACAATTAAGTCTTTTATCCATCTTTCCTGGTACATTTGTGAAGAATTGAACATTTGAACAAAGATTTTAGAGTTGCCTGAATTTGGGATTGAACTGAACACTGGCTCTGTAGAAATGTCTAATATCATGATCCAAACAGCTTGTCAATGCGCGATAAATCAGAAAAGAATGGAACGACAACAAGGGTAAAGGCTAAACTGAAGTTCATCTAAACAGACATCATACCTGAAAAATGTTTTGAATGCTTCATCACATAATACTTGTGATGCTTAAAGGGAAAATATCACTAAATCAGACACCCATCAGGCTCATGCCCCCACAATATAACCGGCCAAGTTTATTTATGTCTTAGATACTTCAAACTATCTCAAATTTAAGTAACAACATCTGCAGCTTATATTAGAAAACATCATTTGCTCCTGCATCACTGATTTTGACGTGTCAGCAGCTCAGCATCCATACGCTCTATAATACGACGTGCCTCTTCCTCTGTTGCAGGAACTACATTTCGAATCTTAAATCCATTTTTTGTGGCCTTCGCCTCAGGCCGCAAAGTGAAAGTGAAATAAAATGTATTTGATACCTGTTTAATGGATTCAGATAGACAAAGATATAATATGTTACAATATAACTATGAATTTTGCGATTATGGAATTAATAAGACAGCTGCCTTGTGTTCTGTAACAGTGCAGTCTGTCTGCAGGGGTTTACCTCACTAGATCTGATCTCAGGCCTTGTAACATGAGCAACAACTTCAACATTAATCAGCGGTTGATCTGGATTCTCAAGTTCTGTGTACAGAACACATGACTTCAAACGAAGGAAATCCCCTACATCAACCTGCTCAAAAACATATATTCTTCACTTAAGTAATAAAATTTCCCCAAAAGATTAATGGATAACTCGATGTCTTCTATATAAAGCTAACACCCAGCCAAACACATCCAAACAAAGTGGGAATGCAAATAAAAGAAGCTGAAACATGTTACGCTATATATTCAAGGACACTTTAATATTGCATCTGAAAATTTCTTCGTTTTCTGTTTCACAAGGATATGCTTAAAATAATGATTGAAGGCCGAGGAAGAAAGAAAAAGGGACGGGAGGGGGGAGGCTAGGGGGTGTTGGAAAGATTGGAGCACACTCCAATGATCTCAAACAACACCAAGCATGAAATGTAGAAGAAGAAACAAGTCCCAAATGTTAAATGCATAGAGTGACTAACTGTAAGGCCCTCCCATTTCATATATAAGGATCTCCCCCCCCCCCCCTCTCTCTCTCTCTCTCTCTCTCTGAGTCACGATTAAGTTAATGCTAAAAGCTCATAAAAACGAGAAAGGAACTTACAGGTCTTAAGAAATCAACATGATCGACTTCTAGAAAGCAAGGCACCAGTCCAGCAAAGGCATAAGCTGTTGAGAAAGCTAACTCGAATGCTCGGTGCATTAAAAAACCACCAAAAATTCGACCATGGATGTTCCTTTGCTGTGGTTGGCAAATCATAGCGTTTTCAAGGCGGGTATCCCTTAGAAGAATGCTGTCTCGATCTGCTAAGGCTGGCATATCACAGAAGATTCGGCCCTCAGCCAAGAGTGATTCCAGCCTATTTACCTCCCCGTTTTCAAACTCTCTTCTATCTATTATTTTCCGTTTTCTCAATTTGCTTCTGGCTTCAGCTTCTTCAAAGAGAAACTTCTCATGCTCAGTTTCTGGTGAAAGCCGGTTAACAGGAGCAGCTTTCCCAGTCTTAGAGTCACGGGCCACAAAGATGAAGTTGGCTGTTAGAGCTACTGAATCTGAAACATCTGAGTCTTCTGCATGAAATAACATTATCAAATTAAAGTGTAACTCATCACAGCTAAACTTAAAGCTAATATGTCTATAAAGGGAAGACTTTTCCGAAGAATTACACTGCTAGCAGCTGTGCAGTCTCATAAACTGCCGATTATTTCTCATAACTTAAAGAAAAGTAACCTGTACGTAGGTTATGGAATTTCAGTGCCATTAACAAGACCATCAAAACATGTCAGCAGGCAGGGAGAACTTTAATGTGAGAAGCAATAACAAAAATTTTATGTCAGTTACATATACTATCTTTGCTTGTGGAAAAAATATCATTTAAGTAGAAATTGTCACTGTCACAACTCACAACAGAGGATAAATGATACTTCCGCACTCAAAGAGTCAAAGTTACATAAATGTCAGCGGACAATGTGCTTCTCCTTCTTAAAGGACAACATGTGAATTGTGCGGACAATGTTTATATATACGCATATTAACTAGGTTTTAAAGGATAGAATCTTTCAATATTTTTCCTTTCAGCATGACAGAAAAAAGAGGGGGGTAGGGGAGGGGGAGAGTAAATATCTATGTCAGATAGAACAGAATTCTGCTAAGACAAGGATACAGCTTTTCTAGATATGGAATGAATAAGAGAAGATGACTATGTAGATATAGCAGGAAGCCCTCAAGGAGGAAATATAGAGCTAATACGTAGATGATCTGGGTATGAAAGCAAATAAGGCTCTCAAAAATTTGAAAGTAGCTTGTCAATTATTGTCAAGTAAAGTACAAGTTATAAAATGAAGTATATAAGGAATTTAGTATTATCGATAAAAGTCAACGCGAGAATCGAAAATAGGATAGTTCAATGCCATGCTTTGACTTGAATTTTCACTAGAACTGAGTTTAACTACAAAGCATTGAGAGTTCAGATGGATCTAAACTTTAATACTGTATTCTAAGCCACACCATTATGTTCCACAGTCTGGGCAAAGCTCAAAATTTTAGGAAAATATACAACTAAGTTGTTACAATGATTTATATCTGAAACGTCAGCCAATGCAAATGAAAAAGTTAAAAGGAATTATGGATACCATATGGAAAAGTTTATAATGTGTTAATGATTTGTACGAGAATATATCTCAGCGAATAGTGAATGCATATATCTTTTAAATGCAATTCTAATCAGCTAATCTTCAAATTGCCTGATGGAAATGCAAAGTCATGATTTTCTCCCTTCTTTAAAGTAGATGCTACAATGTAACTGTATCCAACTATCTATTTCATTTTTCTGGTACCAGAATAGCATCTTAAAATTTTCAATTTGAAAGCTAATCATATATTTAAGATAAAAGCACCTTTTGTGGACTGAATAACTTCGAGTTGAATCTCAATCGATGACCTCCCAACCCATATGACAGAGCCAACTATTTTCAGATCAATGTCAACACTAATAGGCTTCTTCAAAACAATCTTGTCAACAGAAGCTGTGACCAGCAAGAGAGGCCTGGTTGTGCTATCATCATCTGAACAATGCTAATTTACAAACGAACACACAACACAACACAACTTTAGCCATTCGAAAAGGTTGCACATTTGTCGTCTCCCAAATATAAAGAACGAGCTTTGTAAAAAGAGTACCTTGACAGAGATAGTCCCAGCTAAAGCGTCAAGGTCTTCAAGCAACTTCCCAATTCTAACCTCATTCCAGGGATCCCTATATTGTTCTCTCAAAATATAATCTGATGACAAGTTATAAAGGATGCCGGTCCTGCTTTGAGAAGGAGTTTTGGTGAGCAACTCACTCTGAGGGGGCGCATCTTTTGGTGGGTCAAGGAGTCTCTCAAATATTTGGGACCTTGCTTCCCATAGAGCATTAGTTACTGGTGAATGGTACATTCCAGGCCATAGGCTTATGGGCTTCCTAGTCGAGGAGGAATTTGAGTAGTTGACCGGAGGAGAATTGTCAAAGGGAGAGGCAAAAGTTGAAACTACAGGGATGGTGTTAGGAGATGAGCAATTAAACTCCATGGAACTGGAATTTCAGGTGATTCCTGGAAATGGGTTGTGAGAGTTTTGATGGTTTGAAGAGGTTTCAGAATTGGGTTTGTCTTCGTAGATGTAAAGAAGATCTTCTTTCAGCTTGACTGAAGCAGTTAAACTTTTGATTTTTGATATTCTGTAAGAAATTATACAAGTGGGAAAAAGGCTTTGTTGGTGAATCTTGGGTTATTTACTGCTCATAAACAATTGCTGTAGTCCGTCGAGAGAGGAAAGACTAGGGTTCTTTCCGTTAATGCTGGAGGCTGGACAGGCCTGGCCTTGCTTGTTTCGCTTTCGGGACAGTTGTGAGGAGTAAAGAGGCTTACCTTGTCCATTGCCACTTGCCATCACAATTGTTTTCCTTTTTTTTTTTTTGGTTGAAATTCGAATTTTCCCCACTGTTCCAACCGTTTTGGACCGCACTATAGCCTAATTAGCATAGTTTTTAAATCCACACAAATTTTGTTTTTTAGTTTAATATCGCATCATATGATAAAAAATTTTAAAATTAATTATAAATAATATTTATATATATAAAATAAAAAAATGAAAGAAATTTTATATTTTTTAATAAAATTGAAAATTATAAGACATAAATTAAAAAGTAATTTTTTTTAATTTAAACTTTCAATATATTTCTTAATAATATACATGTTTAAACAAAATATATATTTTTTATATTAATTTATTAATTAAAAAATAAAAAACATTTATCATGTTAAAATTAAATGAGACTTCAATTTTTTATTTAAAATTTAAAGATTAAAGCTTATAAAATATAATTTTTCATATTTCAACTTAAAAAATAATAAAAAATTAAAATTTTTAATAATTAATCAAAATTAAATTTATAAAAAACATATCGACTGTATACGTCACGTACGAAACATTTTTGATATTTATTAAAATATGATACATATATATAATTTTTTATTAATATCATGTCGTATCATACAATATGTGTATGTATGATAATAATAACTATACTAATTATATTAGTTTGATCTAATAATGCAACAGCTGGCATTCATGGGTGGGGAACTCTTGCAATTGTATAAATGAGTAAAACAGCCGATCCAGAGCAAAAAAATCAATAATGGCATCCATGTGTTTCATGCCAACTCTCTGTCTAATCGCCTTTTGACAATGATTTATCATTTGAGGTTGCGAAATGTCTCAGGAATTTGTGGGCTTCAGAAAATTTGTTTAACCCTTTTGAAATATAAAAACTTTTGAACAGCCCTTTTGAAAGCTACATATCATTCATTATAAGAATGAATGAAAAATAAATTTGTTTAACCCTCCCTTTTTTTCTGTTTTTAATTAATTTTAATGGAGTGGTTACAAAATTTGTACTACTTCATGTAAATTAATATAAATTCTATAAATAATTGAGTAGGATCCATTGAAGCCAGTTTTTATTGAGTGGGGTCATGACTATTTTGCCATTGCTAGGAGAGAGTGTTTTCCTCGTTCGAGGTAAGGCTCGAGATATTAAGCAAAGGCATCCATCAAGATGGACCACAACCACACTACTTCCTCGGCTACGAGTTGTGCAGTTCCTATAGATCACCATAGAGGCAGCTGGCAAGGGGCAAGAGAGAGAGCTTAAGATTGTGCAAAGAACAAGAATGGAAAATGCACGAGAAGCCTCCCACAAAGCTCACTGTTTGGTTTTATCCTACCCAACCCAAGGCCACTTAAATCCTATGCTCCAATTCTCTAAGCGCTTACAGCACAAAGGGCTCAAGTCACATTAGCCACTCCTCAGTCCGTGTACAAGAACATACACGGAGCAGCGTCCATTTCCATTGCGCTTGAGACCATATCCGATGGCTATGATGAAGGCGGCATCACCCATGCAGAAAGTGTTGAGGCCTACCTTGAGCGCTTCTGGGAGGTCGGCCCTCTAATTCTTACAAAGCTTGTTGAGAAATTGAATGCATCAGGCTGCCCCTTAAATTGCATAGTCTACGATTCTTTCTTGCCTTGGGCTCTAGATGTTGCGAACAAGTTTGGCTTGGTTGGTGCTGTGTTTTTCACTCATCCTAGTGCTGTTGGCAGCATATACTACCATATATATAAGGGCTTGGTCAAGCTTCCTTTCACAGAGCCTGAAGTTCTGGTGCCTGGATTGCCTCCACTCAAACACCAGGACATGCCTTCTTTCATTTCTGATTTGGGGTCATACCCTGCTTTCTTTGAAATGCTGCTGAATCAGTTTGCCAATGTTGACGAAGCAGATTTGGTACTTTTTAATACATTCTATGAGTTGGAGAAAGAGGTAATTGAGTCAACTGTGTCTTTGTCTGGTAGTCACAACTTAATTTGGCGTATCCATAAGGTCTTTAGTATCAAAAACTTATTCGCTTTCATGAATTTTCTTGCAGGAGACGGATTGCTTGGCAAAGCTCTGGCCATTAAAGACAATTGGGCCAACCGTACCATCTATGTTCTTCGATCAGCGACTCCAGGGTGATGAAGTCTATGGTTTTTGCATCTTCAGGCCAAACATTGACGCTTGCATGAAATGGCTAAATGACAAGCCAGAACAATCTGTGGTTTATGTCACGTTTGGGAGCTTGGCAGCTCTGGAAGCTGAGCACATGGAAGAAATAGCATGGGGTTTAAAAGGGAGCGAAAGTTATTTCTTGTGGGTGGTAAGGGCATCCAAAAGAAGAAAAACTGTCCAAAGATTTCTTGGATCAGCGACATCAGAGAAAGGGTTATTAGTGTATTTTCAAAATCAAAAGTTATGTCATATAATGAAAAGCTATCTTAACTCAAAAGTTATATCACATAAAGTGACATAATATGACTATTGGATTGTAGGGAAGTTTTCATGTGAATAGTTATCTCTTAGTAAAATGACATCCAAAAGTTATGAGACAAATTAAAAAAAAAATCATAATTTAAAAGTTTAAATATGAAAAGTTATTGTTTCAAATTATAACTAAAAGATTATATTTTATGTAATAAATAGTTATCATTTTATAAGATGATTATTGAAACAATACCTTTATCTAAAAGTTATGTCTAGCAAAATGTAAAGATGCTTTTTAGACAAAATGGTGTATTAATGAAAGGGTTGTGTCTTTGAAGAAGAGACACTTGCAAGCCTACATAAAAAGCTTGTTACCAACCATTTTGACATATAAAATCAAAAACAAAACAAAAGTAGAAAAGTATTGTGTTCTATTAACATAAACACTTAAGTTCTTGTCAACAACAAAAGTGTCCAAATTCTTTATAATCTACTTGCTGCAAAAAATAGATTCTAAAGTCAAACAACTTTGCAAATCTTCAGGTGTATGTAGCTGTCTACTCTCATAAAGTGCAAGAAAAAGTTAGACGTTGGCTTCATTTTATCCTTAAGGTTATTCACATTATTCCCCTTTGCATATCGAGTGGTGAGGGTGAAATAAGTCTTAAAAATAGCGTCTATTGAAAAACCCGTCTTGAAGTTAATTTTTCTAGTTATTTGAATTACATCTAAACCCCATTTGCATCAACAATTATAAGACTTATTTTTGTGGTATTCAAAATGGCTTCACCTAAAGAGATGGTTACCAACATTGTCAAGTTAGATCACTTTAAAGAAGAAAACTTTATTCGATGGTAGAAAAAGATACGCTTCTTCCTTACAACTTTTAAAGTCGCTTATGTTCTAGACACACCAAGACCAAATGAAGAAGGTGGTGAAGAATCCATGGATAAAACTCGTTTTTGGCAAAAATAGGATAACAATGACTACATATGCATGGGACACACTCTTAATAGAATGTCGGATGCATTGTTTGATGGGTACTAGAATGAAACTAGTGCAAAATAACTTTGGGACAAATTGGAAGCAAGATACATGGCTGAAGATGCAAGTAGCAAAATATTTCTAGTTAGTCGTTTCAATAATTACAAAATGGTTGATAATCATTCTGTTATAGAGCAAGTGCATGAGCTTGAATGCATTCTAAATAGCTTTAACCAATATGGTCTTAAAATGGATGAAGCTAATGTGGTATCTTCAATAATTGATTAGCTTCCCTCTTTATAAAGAGACACTAAGAAAACTCTAAAACATAAAAAAAAAAAAAGTCTCTCGAGGACCTTGGTAATTATCTTCGAGTAGAAGAAGATTATTGCAAATAAAAAGAAGTCAAGCATGATGAAAAAGAAAATTATTCTAATGAAATGAATCTTGAGACTTCAAAGGTCCATGCAATGGAACATAAACTATCAAACAAGTTGTTCTCACACAACAAAAGAAAACATTCCGTCGGTATGAATGACAAAAGTCATAAGATCAAAAAAGAACAAAAAGGGACCATGTTTTCATTGTAACAAACTTGGACACTTTAAGGCAGAATGTAAACTTTTGAAAAACAAGACACAAGGTGTTAACAACAACAAATTTGTGGTTATAGTTTCTGAGGTCAATCTTTTCCAAGATGATGGAGCATGGTGGATTGGCACTGGTGCAACTAATCATGTATGTAATAATAGGAGTTTCTTCAAGACTTCGAAAGCAGTTAATGATAGAACTACGTTATATATGGGAAATTCCTCTACTACACAAGTGAAAGGAAAAGGCACCATGAAACTTATGTTTACTTTT